AATAACAATAAATATATATATGAAATGTCAGAGTTCAATCATGTATTTAATGGATACTTTTCAAAATCCTTATGCTATATACGAACAGCTGTTCGAGTGCTGTGCGCTTCATTATAATAATAGGAGAGAAAAATCTTATCACGTTGATCAGATAATGAGCATAATGCACATGAGTTTGATCGTTAATTCGATCACGAGGAATGTATACGTTAACATTTTTTTTAACTTTAAGCGAATTGCCAATGTCTATACAATTTTCTCCAATTGAAATGAATACAATACAACTCATTCTGTTGATGCTTTCCAAATTTTCGAAAATACTTTTTAGATTGTAATCGCGAAAAATTTCCTCGCCTGTTCTTTTCGTGTAAAAATTTTCTCTTTATATTTTTCGCTTTTCTTTCTTATATGTATATCTTTATATTTTTTCTTTCTCTCTTTCTCAAATATATATATATATCTTCCGTTTCTCTTTCTCATACATGCGTATTTAAAACGAAAGATGTAACAAATAGATGAATACTTTTTTGATGTACATGTATGAATATAGTTTTTCAATATTTTTATTATTTTTTTAATATGTGTGTATACATAATATATATTTATATATATATTTAAAAAAATCATAAAAAATATTTAAAAATATATTAACACATTAAATAAATATTAATTATATATATATATATATAATAACACATATATATTAAATAAATTTTAATAAATATATTAACTAAATATTAATATATATTAAAAAAATATTAATACATACATCAAAAAGTATTCATTATATTTTTTATTTTAAATACAGTGTGGGAAAATGTGGACAGGAGAGGAACAGGAAGTCAATGCTTTGGTTTCAAGAGGATGGATTTCGCATGGTGCCGGAAACAATAATCGGTCGAGTTAGACGGACAATTTGTTCTCGTTCCTCTCTCCTCGTCGCCGCGTCACGCGTCGCTCATATGAGCATGTAAACGCGAACCGCGTACATATTTTATTTACTACTTATAATACACACCTGTCGTGATCGACACAATAATGATGACAAGGACGATGCGTGAGCGCGTGAAACAATTCGCGAAATTATTAAAACACCTCGCACCGGAGAAAAAGAGAGAGAGAGAGAGAGGTTATGATACACCTGCTGATATTGTGCAGCGATATATGAAACCACGAAACGTCCTTCCCGAGGATGGTTCCGAGGTTTCGTTTCGTCAAAGCTGGACAAAATCTGCAGGTAAGAATCCAAGGAGAAAGGAAGAGAAAGAGAGAGAAAAAGAGAGAGAGAGAGAGATAGAGAAAGACCTAGTGGTACATGCAAAACAATTTTCAGCATGCCAAAGTGTTTCTCGGGGACGACAGAAAAAAAAAACGTATACAAAGTCGTGCAAATCCCGCACGACATATCGTCCCCTTTCTCACTTTTCTTTGATAACGCTATCACTTTAGTTACGTACGCTCGTTAACGTACTCACCTAACTCGAAGTACTCCCACACCACAACTTCACCATTTCTACACTTTTCGTCGGACTCGGCCGCGCGTATTGTTGTCCTGTGCTTTTTTCTTTTGAAACAGCAAAATTGACCGCTAGCGCCATCTGTAGGCGGTTGAACAAAGGATCCTCCGGGAAAGACTAAAACACTAGATGCACCGAAATATTTCTAGAACAAAAATTGCGGCAAATTCAAAATAATTTTTAGACCGAAAAATCGAATACATGGAATTTTATTAATAAAGAAAAAGATTTGACGCCTGGAATTATCATTTTCTGTCATGCTTAGTTTATTCGTGTACGACTGAAAATTCTGATAACGTGTTATTATAAGGCTGATATTATTTTTGTAAGACAAAAAGTTTGTTGAAGGTTATTCCGGGAAAAATTCCAAAAATTCTATTCAATGGACGATTAACTTATTGATAAATTTTCTAAGATTCAGTCCAAGTATTTAATATATGCACAGAATTAAACATAAAAGAAGAGAGAGCAAATACAGTAATTAACAATTCGTGAAATATTAACGAATAAAAAATGTTGAATCATTTGTCAATCATATGATATCTGAATATTCAGGCACACGATGCACTCAATCAAAATTTATGCCTGATTTTCGGTTATTAACATAATTTTGTACAATTAAATTGACAAAAGCGTATAATATTATTACAATAAAAAATCTTTGTGTAATACCTTTAGATTTCTTCTGTGTATCTCCTTCCCTATAATAGCGCAAAATTAGCTGAACTACCAGTATTACCATTACCTGCCCTTTTCTTTCTTCTAGTTATTAATATAAATTTCCCTAGTATTTATAAATTTGTTGTCATAATCAATTGGTACGAAAATTTGAATAAGAATTTTTTACACATTTACATGCCATCGCAAATTATGATTAAAATAATTTTTACATTAATATAATTTGGTTTCTTATTATAAAAACAAGATTTTCCCATTATTTCATTACTACTGTAGTCATTGAAATTACAGTTAGGATTTTATCTATAATATAACTTACATATTATATGTATATATATATAATATATATGTATATATATATATAGAGCGTGTTTTTTTATTTATTATATTTATATTACACAAAGATGTATACTTAATCGTATTATTGTATTGATCTCAAATACAATTCGCCGATTTCTCTACCATTCCATATTATTAAATAGAGTTTAATCAATCTTGTTTTTCTTAATAATATTATTAATATTAAACCAGGTCACAAAAAAAATAGATACAGCTATCCTCGACTCGAAAGAAGAGAAATATTTGGGACAGACGAAAGTCAGGGAGAATAGAGAAAAAGAGACAGAACGGAGAAAGTCAAAGACAGAAACAAAAACTCTAAGAGACAAAAAAAAATTAAACTTAAACTATACGAAGAGTAGGAAGAGATGCATAACTCTTTGTTCTCGCATTTAACTGATACTATACGATGCTGTTTCTTTTTGTTGCTGCCTCTATTTCGCGCTATTTTCATTCTCTTACACCCACATATCACGACGCGACAATTTCTTTTTTTTTACTTTACATATTTATCTTTCTTTTTATACAAATTACTTAGGCATTGTGATATTCAGGTTTCTCTGCGCTTGACTATCCTCATGTATCGGCGCCTCGCGTTTTACGCTTCTCACCCTCGACGTGCAATTTACAAGCCAAGTATGATCCATTTATACAAATTGTCGAAATGTGATAAACGCGAAAACACTTTATATCATAGCGCAAATGTCGGCGAACGTGATTCTGCGTACAGAGAGAAAAATTGTTCTAATTAAGGGATTCTCTACCATTTTGGTGATGTAATACATTTGTGTCCTTAGACTTTATCTATCCACAAGATACGGATCTAAATGATAATATGTATACAATCCTATATTACTGACTTACTACAAAATTCTACTGTACATGAGGATCGCTCTTTGTACGCAGAGTCGCTCGACGATGGAAAAATTGATTGGAATATCTCGTTCGTCGGGCCGTTTCACTACGGAATTTGTCTTCTTTCTTTCTTTGTATCACAAGTAATAAGATTAATATATATATTTTTTTTTACAATTATTCTTCTACGATAAAATTTTTGTTTCCCTTTTTCATACACAATTGTAGAGTATAAGCGTTTCGTTTACAATTCAATATCTCTCTTATTACACATCTAAGTATTTTTTTGGCTGTATACGCGTCCGTTTTCTTTTTTACAAAGATCGTTTATTAACATCGAGAAGCGTCGAAAGTGGTGTCCCGAAAAATAAAAAGAAAATTAGGCTTTGTGTGTACTTTTTCTCGAAGTGTGAACGTGTTCATACCTTTTATTATTATTTTTCAAAACAGAGTTTATATGCTTCTCTAAATAAAAAGAGATATTTTTTACATTTGTTGCTATGCCCTATATATGTACAAAGAATTTTTTACGCTCAATATAATTTTATCTCCATTTCCGAATATATAGTTACTATTTAAAAATGATTATATCTAATTTATATCATTACTCTGTGCTGTAAGAGAAGATGTGACAACTATTTTCAATATATACTTGATGTGTATATTGTGTGCTATGTGTATATATTTATGTGTATATGTATATATATATTATATATATATACATATATATACACATATATAATCTATATATATATGTATATATATATCTTTTCCTCTACGCAAATTAATATTATGTACACATTGTATATATATCTCTATATAATATTATTTTTATACAATTTTCCTGATCTTTGCTAGATAGTTCTTGATGCAGCAAGAGAATCGCTGGTTAATATTCTTACATTCATTATAGCAAAAATTTGCCTCTCTCACGCTCCGATAAAGTACAATGGAAACGATGATGACGACAACAATGACAGCAAAGATGACCACAATATTAATATGAAAAAAATTTATATATATACATATATATTTATATATATGTATATATATATTTATATCAATCAGCAATATAATTATTACAAATTTCATAATAATGCATAGCTGTTAATTTAATCACTAACAATAAATCATACATATGGGACGATGGATTTAAATCACTGGTTTTACAATCATATGGATGCATTAGTAAGATGACAGTGAGTATGATAATGTACAAAACGTATCACTGAATGTAATGAAACGTATGTTCTTTGTTGTCTTATTACATAAGAATTACAGAGATAATAAAGTTTTACAAGTGTTCTCATTTTATCATTTTGCTCTATCCAAGCATAAAAATATTTAACATGCAAAAATTTTAATTTGCATGATAAAGCAGCTATACAACAAAAAAAATATATATATTAAATTAAATGTAACAAAAAAAATGAACTTTACATGGACAATCATATGTATAGTTAATGATTCAGATATAGAGACATATAAACAAGAGAAAATAAAACACATTAATTATAACAACAATTCTGTTATGAAACACATGCATGTATTCCCATGAAAATAATAAATATAAAGTTTTTAAACTCTTAATAAAATCTTGAATCATGATGCTTCAATAATGAATATAATTTCTTTATTTTTGTATATACACAAAGTTCTTTTTTACATCCACTAGAGAACACTTGCCTTACATATTCGATCGTCGTGAAAAAAAGACAGAGAATATTCAATTTTCACTTATGTTACTTGGACTTACTCATTTTACTGTGTTTAAGCGTGTCCAATTTTGATGGCTGCCACATTTTACAGATTTTGAATTCGATAATATTCAGTACAATATGCCCTATTTGTGTATTCCTGCGTACATGATGTTAATAAGAAAATTTATGTTTTTTTTTCGTAAATGTGAGTAAAAAAGCAAACGCTTTCCTTTTTGATTATCATTATTCCTCGACAGCGATCCGTCTATTCTACAGATTCAAAATTTAAAAAATCTTGCTTTTTTATATTAAGTCGAAAAGGCCACTGTTCAAGGCCACAGGCCAAGAAAATTAATTAAATTCAACCGTTGAGAAGAGTTTCTATTTCTTCACTTTCGTTCGTCATTCATTTTTTCTTTTTTAATTCTCAGAAATAGTAATATAGTTAATAGTGTTCTTGTTTAAACATCTTGTACATTGGAAAGTATTTTTCTCGAGCATATTGATTCCTACTTGATGTCTGGAAATTAGTATAACTGCTTTCACACTTATACTTTTACATTCCAGATTCACATTTACACGTCGAATGATACAAAGCGTAATCTCAAAACATCTCACATTGATTTTCATTAAACAAGATCAATTTATATTTATTAGAGAAGATAGAGAGAATATTGTGTGAATCAACCATCTGTTAGATTTTATCTATTTATAGTTACATCAATTATATCGTTCTTTCTCGCGCATGTTATTATATTTCAATCAACAATGTAATTTTATTACATATCTCAAGTGATTGTGTCGCGTATGAAGATGTTTTGCTCCTGCGCTTTGTTAACTAGAACATACCTTACTAACTAGTAAGGCTATCTTCAGTCATAAACGGATTTATATACTTAGTCTCTTACATTATTGCCCTTTATTCGGTGCATCTAATTAAAGCCGGTTTTCAGTGTGATATAATGTGAATAATATCTATTTTTCACATTAGCCTATGTTCACAGACTCACCGGAGTTTCACGTAACTCGATGAAGATTACACTTAGGTATGTACTGATTTGTATCGAGATGCCAGCCTTTCGTCAATGCGCATGGATAATGCGTAACAGCCTTGCAACCTCGTTTCACGCAACCAATGTTCGCCCCCGTCAAACCGCAGGAGTTGCAAATTGACTTGGCGGCATCCCACACAGCTTCTTGCAGTCCTGTTACTCTACCACCTGCCAAAGTATAATAATTTTCGTAATATTCGTATATTATTCACTGTCTCATTTTCTTATTGTTTTATACAGGGTGTCCCGAAACTCGCGAATCATCTGTTAATGGTAAATTCCTGGGATCATTTTCTTCCTGGGATTTTTCTTCAGCGAAAATATCGAGGCATCAATAATTTTTGAGTTATAAAGCGATTGAACATAAGAGATTTTTCGCAAATTAAGCCTTGTAGAAATAAAATATTAACAAAACCACATTCTTTAATTAATTTTGAGTAGAGTTTACTTCAATAGAATTTTAATCTAAAGCTTATAAAGATACACGATGGCAAAAATTGAGAACATGCAAAAATGATGGCTTCTTTCGACATTTTGGCTGAGAAAAATCCCAGGAATCTGCCATTAACAGATTAAATTCCATTATTTGCATTGACTTACCCGCCATGTAAACTCCAGCTGCCCATACCGCGCATTGCTCGTGAAGCCATACTTCCCATCGTTGCTCTTCTCCGCCGGGATGCAGAGTCATACCGGTGAAGATGTTTGTTTCGACAGAGTTCCGTTTCTTTTTGCCCATCTTCGCGGAGAACTGGTCCGCCAAACCCGCGTACCTCAAGCTCCTCTTATTCTTCCCGCCTTTCTTTTGTTCCGTTGTAATCTCTTGTTCGTCGGCTGATAAAATACCATCCTCCAACCGTTCCTTACCGATCAAGTATGGCCCAAATAAGTCGCTTAATACGCCAGCAGGAACCTGTTACGCGCATTTATCATATTATATTTGCATTGCTAGTTGCACGAATTGGTTTAATGTATGTAGAGCGTATTTAATATTAAATATCGCTTACAAATACGCTTAATTTTATCCAATATCGTATAGAAGTCACATTTAACACGTACGAAATGCAATAATAATATAGATAAAATAAATTATAACAGATAGAAAATATATATTAAAAGTCTAATTTGTATAATTGAAATATCTAGTCATTTGAAAAAAATGCATACTGTGTATGTTCCAGTCGCTATGTGCGGTCCGGCCAGATTCGGATGAGGCCTGGACGGATCTCCGGGTATAACAGAATGAGGACCTTGCTTGCAGAATACACAGACCCAGGTAGAATCCGTAGTGTGTGCATCGTATCGTGACGACAAGGTTGAACTGAAGAGACCTGCTTTACTAACTTTACCTGCATAAAATGCAAAAATGTTAAAACGATAAAGCGAATCTTGTTCTAAAGATATAATCTAAGGATGTAATGAATGTAGATCTAATGAATCTAAGGATGTATATATAACAAAGATGTAGAAACAGTTTTCCATCACGCACCTCTATAATCTAAATCGTTCTGATGACTGAGCCTCTTACTTCGGCCTCCGTTTCCGTTGCCGACACTTTTCCGCTTCTCCTTGGTCTTCTCTTCCTCCTCCTCACGCGGTGCATTGACCACTTGGATACTCAACGGACTGTCTCTAGGACCCTCTACGTGGACCACCGGACCCCGCGATCTGATCGAACTCGCGTTCGAACCGGAATCATACGCCATCTCCCTGAGGCCGTCGACCTTGGTGTTTTTCTTCGCCTTCTTCGCTTGGTCTTGTTTCTTCGAACCTTTGGATGTTCGCCTCTTCTTCGTCTCCTTGGGCAGAATATCACTCGTCGTGCCGAAGATATTCTCCGATGATCTGGATATTTTCCTCTTGCCTTGCGTCTTGCCCTTCTTACCCTTCTTGCCCGACGACTTTGTATCCACAGTAGAGGAAACGTCGATGGGAGTATTCTGAGCGTTCTGAGAATCCGTCGTCATCGACAGAATACTATTTTCGAGACTTTCGAGTTTTGCAGCGTCGCTGTCGCCCTGAATCTCCGCCGTTACAAGTTCCGTTTTTGATTCTTCATTTTTGACATCTGAATCTGCTTCCACAATCCCGGCAAACATCTTTGCCAATTCTGACTCGACCTCGACGAAGGCGTTCGTTGTCGTCGTCGATGTCGTTGTGTTGTTTACGTTTTTCGGACTCGTCACCTTGGACAATTCAGATGACGCGTCATCGCTGGATTTCCTTCGTATCCTCTGATTCGCCGGATTCGTCAAGTTATTAATCATGGCATCCTCGCTACTTCTTCGCCTTCGAACTGGTTGATTCTCCTCCGATATTTCTTCCACATTCTCGTCCGGTATTGTCTTGTCCGATATTCTCTCTTCCGCTGCTCTAGCAATTTGCTCGTCGTTTTTAACGTCAGTCGTTGGTGCGGAACTAGCCGTCTCTTCCAACACCGGGTCGATAATTCTCGATTCCGTGGGTTCTGTGGGCTCGAGTTCCATATCTTCAACTTCTGTTTTCGAGTCCTTGCTCAGTCTCACGGGCTTTTCAAGTTTTCTTTTTCTTCGCTGCTTGGTATTGTCGTTCGAATCGTCATTGCTGAAGGCCGGCGATACGACTTCGTCCTCGCGAGTTGGTGATTTAGACTTTTGTCTCTCCGGCGACATACTTTTAACACTAGACGTGTCCTTTTCCTCTACTGGCATAACAATCACCGAACCGATATTCTCAGTACTCCCGAGCTTCTTATTTCCACCCTCCAATTTCTCTAATAGAGAATCGACACCCTTCTTTCCTCTCTTCGGCAAGTTTTTAGGCGATCTCACGCTCGTCTCGTCATGCTTCTTGTCTCTCTCGGAGGAGGACTCTCTATTAGGACTATCCGTGACATCCTTCTCCATCTTGGACGTGAGATTGACTATAACAGGTAAGGTAACATTCCTTGGCACTTGCGCGATAACACTCAGCGTGTCCTTAGGTTTCACAGGAGTTTCGAGCTCCTTCTTGTCCGCGATCACTCTCTCTATCGTCACACTAGGCGGCAAATTTATCACTTTCTGCGTAAAATTATCTACATTCATTTCCTTAATCTTATCGTGAAGATTCGCGACTCCTTTTAAATTGCTCTCAAAGTTTTTCACCGTTATTTTAGGAGTGGTGACTTCCTTCGTTGATAGCGAGACCGGTTCGCTGACAGAGTTCGGCGTCGGTACGGACGAGCTGATTCCGCTGTCCGACGAAGTCTCCCCGTTCAGCGGTATCGGCGGTGAGATTATGTTGCCGTTTCGATTGCCCTTATCCACGTTTCTTGCAGTCAAACTGATGGGAATATCCTGAGGTAATCGAGAATAATTCTCCGCAATATCCGACGTGGACGAGAGATCTAACGTACTCTGCGAACCAGGTGAGTTTCTGTATTGATTTTGATTTTGACGATTATCCACCAGCATTTGTAAGTTGAACAGGGGATTGCCCGGTGTATTAGACGGCGTAACGCTTTTCGAGGGGACCGTGGGCGTGTGCCACGTCGGCGGTGCTTGTGTATGAGCGAGTTGAGGAGTAAGTTGAGACGGTAGGTGGGACGCTCGCGCCATAGATGGATGTGTGTAAAATCCGGCTGAACTCAGCGCGGCACCAGACAACGCTGTTGGATGAATATTGAGAGCTGAAAATGCAATCGTCATGAATTATTTGTCATATTAAAAATAAATGGCATTGTAAGATTGTAACAACGATGTAATTAATTAGTCAGAGACTTAAATTACCTTGTCCCTGAGTCATAGTGAGGTGGTTCCAGACAGTTTGCGGTGGAGGTGTGCCAACCGGTGGTCGGCTATGACCTGGATACTGTCCTGACATTTCGAAACACGCCCAATTGCTTAATTTTGGGATGCAGGCGGTCAGTTGCACCAGATCGGGATTTTCTGACTTGTGTGCCTCTTCCTCGGTGCAGCACTCTTTCTTGATATTGTTACATTTGGCATTCGACTGCAAATGTGTCCAAGACGATGTTTTACTGTCGCTATTTAAGCGCGATGGTAACACATGCGTGACGTACTTGTCCAAAATATGTGCCCTTTCTTGTTTCAAATCGTTATTTGTTACAGCTCTTCCGTTTATTTCACTTTTGTCGTTGGTATGTAATTTGGTGATGGTTTTCAACAATTCTTTACCTTTGCCTGAATTACATGACAACTCGTCTAAATCGGAAAGTTTCAATAAACCATAATCTAGACTCTTGTACTCTGCGTTATAACTCTGTATATTAGGGGAATGATCTATCTGTCTTAAAATGGCACCATCCACCAGAGGTATTTCTTTATCGCCAACTGATGAGTATGGATAATTACAGATTCGATCTTTCGTCTCACTATAAATATGGCTACGTTGTGTACTTTCTTTCGAATTTATTACTAAATCAAGTGGCTCATTATCGATTACAGATGTGGTGTTATTAGAGTCGCAAACTTCCTTTTCTTTACTCTTTCCGATATTGTCAGATATGATTTTCAGTTCAACAATATTTTGCGCGTTAATTGAATGCTTTGACACACAACTAAAAATATCTTTATGATGACAAATTTCTTTCCGCGATTCAGGCAAAATTTTGGTTTGATTTTTTTCGAATGAACATGTGGATTTCGTTATTTTACTGATATTTAATAACTCAAGTTCTATCTCCGCATCAAAATCCTTCCCGCAATTATCCAGCCTATCTTTTTGTTCCTGTTGCAGTTTTCTTGTTTGTTTGGATAGCGATTCATTAATCGTACTAGCTAGTGCATTAAAATTCGCTATCCTATCATTATGTCCTGCCGTTTGCGATAACTTTGTTGAATGTATTGAATTTAGATTACTAGCTTCCGTGATCTCTTTCTCTTTGTGATGTAAATAATATGTGTCTTGGACAGTATTATGTGCTACCAATGCTTGCACATCAACCCACTGCAAATTGTTTGAAAGCGCCCATTGTGGCGCAACATCAAATACGTGTAGTCCTAGAAACAAAAAGTTGATTGTACTTAACATTTAAATATATAATTTGATTAATTATAAAAAATTAACATATAGTTTAAAGAAAAACAACAGATTTAAATAGATATTACATTAAATTTATCTTAGTTTTATATATATGTATATATAATTTTTATGTTAATATAAAATATATTTTTATTTGACGATTATTTTAGAGAACATGTATATGAAAAAAAGGTACTATAATAATTATATTTTACCATTGTTGGGAAGAATAGAAGAGTCATGACAACTCACACCATACTGAAGATCTGGATTATTTTTATTATCTCGCTCATTTATATTTTGAGAGTAGAAGTAATATCGCTCTACATCCAGAAACTTCTCTCCTTGTGATATATGTTTAGATACATTCAGAGATTCTGTAATCATAACAAAAATATTCTTTAATCCTAATTTGAATAAACAAATTGCAATTATAAATTAAGATATATTTATGCAATATTATAGCTATTATAATTGACATAAACAAGCTGTTTATTGCTCATAAATACTACATGAAAAATTTAGATAATTTCTAAGACTGTAGGAAGTAAATAAAATATTGCAGCCTATGTGTAAATCTCGAGTAAATTTTTTTATTAAATAGAAAACCAAGAAATATTCTGCCACACTATTTCTATTTTCTTGCACACTCATATTGTACGATAACTGTAATTCAATCTCGAACAGAGTAATAATGTTCCTTAACAGAATGAACAAACAATCAAACTTATATTTACATAACAGCAATATAGCAGCTTGTATTCCGATAGAGAATATTGATGATATGAATAAAATGCAAAAAGCTCGTATTTATCAGGACAAATCTTTCAAGATACAAAACGAGTATTTTCTAAATAAAGACAAAGGAAACATTTGTATAGGAAATACACTTTTCTCATCCTGTTCAAACACACGTTTGACGCTTCTACCAAGGGCATTTGCTTTTATTCATACGACCCATCGACATTGACTCTCGAACAGCTCATTCACTATACGAATCCGCGATTCATTGATTCGCACACTTTCGACCGCCACAAAAAAGCCAACAGACATTCCTCCGATTTACGAATATTTTACCGCACAAACGTGGACAATTTTTTTTCAGGATATCCTTTCTTTCTACATAGAAGCGTGCAAATGATCTGTCGCGAATATCTAGCGGCTACAAATTACAAAATAATGAAGGCAATATTAATTTTCTCGTTCACGGAGAGAGGCAAGGAATGGGGAAAATTAGAGCGAGATTTCGAGTGGGAATTTCGCGGCGTCGACCGGCGAGGTGAAAACGCAGCGTCTAACGGTTCGATCCGGCCCGACATTCCTCGTCCACGAGACATTCGGTTCCCGATGCGATCCGGTATCCGATCTCGGCGTCCTGCAACCTCGCGAACTCGTGGCGTACGTTTTGCGAATTCCGTATGCGCGTACACACCGTTTAAAGAGCAAGAGAGAGATGGAGCAGGAGACAAAGACAGACACAGAAAGAGGGAGCGGACAGCGCGCACGAGACGCACGTATACACGCGAAAGGCAAACAGCGACGACGTCGGACACGTTTATTCCACGCGTATTGTACACGTACACGCACTGTACACTTGTACTACACACATCGATAGCGTCGCTAGCTCGGAGCACGAGAGAGAGAGAGAGAGAGAGCTAAAGACAGAGAAAAAACCGGGCGGCGTGGAAGAAAGAGGTGCAGAGGCGCTAAAAAAAAAATTTTTTTCCTCTTTTCATCGAAATAGCCGCGTGTCATCGCCGACCGATCCATGCACGACATGTCGCAGTTTTACATTTTTATCTATATTAAGGAGACGGACCGATGTGCGGGCGTGCATTTTTCACGCCGCACGCATTGCACGCACACGCTCACGCACGCACACTCCTTGACGATGCGCGAGAATGAATGCAGGTACGCACGCACTACGCACGGCGTCGCGTTGCCACCGGCAGCGGCCGAGAGACACGCACGACACGCACGTTCTAACGTCTGTTAGCGACATGGGCGCACGTCGTGCGCGATCCGATCATGGTTGTATGTGCGTGCGATGCACGTATGTGTGTGCGAGTGTGCGCCGACAAATTACGGCACGCAGAGAGGAGAAAAGGGACGATTCGCCGACGATGCGAGTCTCGCGTCTCTCTCACCCTCTTCGTGCGAATCGATAGACACGCACTGAGAATCTCACTCGGTTTTTCCCGGTGGTTGGGCACGCCGTCTCTCCCCCGTACTACGACGACGACGATGACGGCGACAACTACAGACGACTATTACCGAGATGATGTATGCGCGATTCGCTCGCGCGAGAGACCCGCCAGTCAGAGACGCCGTCGCCGCGGATGACGTATCCCGGCGTGATCGCGAGACCGGACCTGACCCGCACCTTACCGCAACGAGGCCCTTCCGCACGGGCGAATTGGCGATTTTCGGCCCGAAAATCGTCCGGGGCATCAACCAAAGCAGTGTTTCAACAATGGTGGCCATCCACACAGCGAACCAGCCGTACGCCGCGCCGGCCCGCCATCTGGCGGTGGCGGCGCAAAACGCGTTTCCGTTTTCGGGAGAGTCGACATGAGACGCGACGCGAGCGACCGACTTACGTTTCTTTTCGATTTTTATTTTATTCTGCCCCGCATCTCTCTGTCTCATGACAATATTTTATTATTCGATTAATTTCCTTCTTACATCTTCCCCTCCCCTGAAAATAATTGTTTAATATTTTTTAATTAAATTTTCTCTGATAAAAATAATTCAGAAGAATTGACATAAAATTTAATAGAAAAAGAACGAAGATGCAAGAATATATAAAATTAAAAATTAATGTATATATATATTGTATTTAATATCGATATTCGATGAAATGATTATTAAAGTATGAGGGTTTGTGCCATTTTTGTCGCAATGCGACGCGTGCACTTGGTTTTGAACAAACCTGCATTTATCCTTGGCGAGATTTCAGAATTGTTCCTCCTTCCTCGCTAAAAGCGAGGATGCACAGTCGATTCTCTTGCATCAACGTCATCAACGTCAATATTTTATTTATAATCCCGAAAAATTCATTTTCAATACTCGCCTTTGAAGAAAAAATATAACTCGCTGAAACCGTTTGCTGCCTGTAACCTATTTGTCGATACCTAATCGAGCGCAACAGTCAAGGTCGCTCCCTTCGTTCCACATTCGTGCTATATTCGAAATTGTGATTCGGAAGCAGGGATTCGCGCGAAAGGCGCAGGACGTAAAATTGGGCGCACGTGCATATATATGTGTATAAATATATATACATATATGTATATGTATGTATATATGTGGCAGCTGCTCTTTCGCCTCTTTCTCGAACGTTCCCGGGGCGCGAAATGCCGCGGCGAGAGACCGTGGATTTCCGATTTTTTCTCGCCGATTATTTCTTCGCGAACGAACCCGCATAATACCGATGTCACATAGAGGCGCGAACGCCCCCGGATGCAAATTTTATACGTAATTCCGCGATGCGCAAATTCCCCCCTATCATCAGCTGTTCAGCCGGAGAATTTCGCGGGAACGCCTTATAAGCGCGAGCCGCGACGTCGAATGACAGAAGAATGAAAGAAAGGGTGGCTACCTCTATATCTGCCGTTGCGCGTCGATCCTTCATTCGTATTTTCGTCGAGCATCCTGGATGCCGTCCTCGTAATCGTGGTTCTCGTCGTGCACTCGATGTAAACAAAACATTATCACGACGCAGCCCGCCACTGCTCAACGGAGTATGTGTGCATTGCGTGCGTGCTGGTGCAAGAAAAGAGTAGAGCCGCGAGACGGCGACGAGTTGGAGGCGGTCCGTCATGTTTGGTCAACGCGCGGTCGACGAATGACAACGCGCGTCTCGCCGCGTCGGCGCGCTCCGCTATTGGTCCGCTGGAACAAACATGGCGGACAAAGCGAAAGGCTTGTCGACGTTCGACTCTCTAGTAACGTCACGGCGCGGCAGCGCCGAATCAACATGGCGGCCGTTCTTGTCGTCTGCTCGGTTTGACATTTGTGCGTTATCGCGAATCCTTCCGCGAGTGTCAATTATCTCGATTTCTCGCGCGTTTTTCTCCGTCGCGATATTTTTTTCCTTCCCGAATAAGCAACTTCCGGCCATTTCTTCGTCTCTTTTCTCGTTAGGGGACGAACGCCAGATTCGATCCGATCGTTAAACTGACGTCGTCTGCTGCGACAGCGCAACGGCTGCTGCGCGAGTGGTGTGTCGTGTCGGCGCCGGAATATCATGCGGGTCGCGATAATCGCAGTGTTGTGACGGTCGTGGGGAAAGATGCATATGTAAATGACAGGTACGATAAACGCCCGTAGCTCGTGAGGATGACGCGCGATGTATTCGACGTGTCGTCGCCGCGGGAATGGAGGCTGAAGTCGGAGGGGAGACCCGCGTAAACGCGATTTGATTGAATAATGACGGTTTTTATTATGGATTTTCGGGCGTGAATGACGTGTCGACGAATGCCGATGTTGATCGTCAATGCGACCGCCTGTATGTATATGTACGTACATATGTAGGAATATCATAAAAAAATAATAAACACGCGCGAATCAAGCAGCGCCTTTTGACATTATATTGTCAATCAGACTGTAAAAGACGTATACGAAGATGCATTAAATGCGAGAGAGGAGGATTAAGAAATTTGTTGAATGAGAAGCAGCGCGATTGATTGACGAAACTCGTCCGGTGGATTTATTCTGTGCCTCTGGTACGGAAATGCAATTGCGCTGGCGAGAGGATTCGATAGATACATCGGCAAATCTTGCAGTTGCACACTGTTTCTTCGACTCTAATCCAGATTGCAAACGTACATTATTCGCTCCAAGTACTTATGGTACATTGCCGAATGAATACCGAGTATCTGCTCGCGTTAAACATTTGGATTGACATGTAGCCTTATACAGGATAGTTGACTGAGAATGTAACTGATACCAAAACATGATGTGATGATGAGTACTTATAAAATACGTTCTAGTGTATTACATTGCAATTGATTCTGCAGAGGAATTTATAGATATAATCTTTGACATTTATTGAAGCGTGAACAATTGGCATAAAGAACGGCGTTTTTAATACCAGCAGTCACGATGTAAGACATTTCAGATATTAAATGTATTTCATGTAACAACAGATGTAGAAAGAATGCATGTTAACTTTCTTTATTTTATAATTTTTTATTTTATGAATTATAATATATTGATTATTTGAATATAAAAGAAATATTTCTATCTCTCTCTTTTTTTGATATTTACTGCACAAGTAAAGAATTTTCTTAGTAACTATTATGTAGACAAAATTTGATCTTATAATATTCAAATAATTAAGAAGAGTAATAATATGAAAAATATAATCATTAATTTTTTTTGTAATCCATCAGCTGCAAGTATTATGGAGCAGAGTGATGGAAATGACATTTCTAGTGTTTCAAATATCGCTAAAGTAAATGTTTCTCCAAAATCAAAACAGAAGAAAAAGTCTCTCTGTCGCATGCTCATGAATAAGAAGACTAAGGTTGGCTGCTTGGAACCTTTGTACAAAGACGGAGATTCGAATAAAAATTCAAAGATAGAAAACTCTCAACATGGATCTCAAACTAGCACTAAACTGTCCCTATGTTGTGCCATGACTGAACGTAGCAGAACGCCACCCCAGAGCTTAACTGTCAGTAGACTTTCCCCAACATTAAGTCGTACTTCTGTCAAATCCGAGGTAGCTTCCATCAACAACTCAAACGATCATCAAACGGAAGTACTTGTCGAGAAGGAAGAGATGCATGGTGCCAATGATCAGCCCGAGATGGCTCAAGAGACTGTAGTCAAAAGAAATAATGTAGCAGCGAGAAAGGAGCAGCGTTATAGTTCTTATATAGAAGGTAAGCCTGAAAATACATTCATTATAACAAGCAAGTTTTTTATTATAACAATCAAGTTTTATTAATGAGTTAAGTAGAAATATAAAATTTGCATATTAAAAACATCCTGTTACAATAAATAAACATTTCTGATTCAATAATTATATAATGAAATGATTCACAATATATAGTGAAATTTAATACTTTATTAAAGAAAAAAAAAAATGTGGAAAACTTTTTCAATAATCTGATAAGCTACAAAGCTCAGTAATATTACATCATATCTAATTCCGTTTAAGTGTCACTCCTCTTCTTTTTCTGAACATGGTGTAATATGATTTGATGATGCTTAGATGACCTTGCATATCCCCTCTATTTTACATTCTAAAGCCTCTGCAAACCAGAGCATTTCCAATGTATGTATTGATGTAAAGCCGTGACTATATAGGAGAAAGGCACAGCTAGTAACAGTTAGTTATCTTTAACATCTTATCTTTGACACACATTGTGTGCATGTCCCTCCATTAATCGAAGTGCAAGTAATCCATTGAAAATGTCGAGTGCAAGTAAAAGAAAGAAGAAAAGATCTTTTCTTGACAAATTACGACACGTATTTGAAAAGGAAGATGAATCAAAAGGACAGGCAGAATTAAATAGACAAGAGGAAACATTTGATAACAGACAGACTGAAAATTCGGGAAGTGTATCGCATAATTCTGGTCAAAAGATTGTATCGAAAATCGAGAATATTGAAACTTATGTAACAGTTGTAAAAAATAGTCCATCTGAAAAAGAAGGATATAAGAATTTGCCAAATATGGAAAGAGATTGTAAAAATGTGAATGTTGTAACTGATGATAATAGTGCAAACCTTGAAAAAAGCAATGTTACAGAAAACGTACAAGATATTAAATTAGGATCAGATAGATATATAAATACAAAATTGCATTTTTAAAACAGGACGATGTAGATGTAACTTCTCAATCATGTTTAAAAGATACTGATAAACCGCGCCCTAATAATGAAACACAGAATTCTGATTCCAATAGCACAATGTTACAATCTTTTTCTAATGATGCTGATGTTACGAGCAATACATGCAAATTTTTAGTAAAAGAAACAAAAGCACTTCCTCAAGAGAGTAGTGAAGATAGTGACTTCTCTGCAGACTCAACGGAAGACTCATTCAAAGAATCTTCAGAAGATGAAAATGAACATTTGATTGAGTCTGAAAAAATTCAGAGATACCTTAAGGATGAATACTTTACAAAGGGAAAGTATATCACTTATTTCTTTCTGGAAATGGAACGGCAGTTCTACAATCCTATGGAAGTTTACAGTATGATTCAGTATCATAATCAAGCTTGTCAAAAACCGGGGAAAGAAGGTACAAAATGATACACGAAATTTATACGCTGCTTAAAATTTTGATTCTTATGTTTGCTAATGTTTTATATTTTTTTTTCTTATGGGGTATTGTACTTTTCTCTTCAGCATCATAAAAGTATTAAATTGATGATATACATGTTTGTGTGTGTATATATATTTATATATATTAGTTCTCTATTAGGAAAATATGTATATACAATATTTTTATATATCTAGATTAGATTAGAAACATAAATGTTAAATAATAGGTATATGTCTAATGCTATGATGTTGTTTATGCGCATCTGTAATTGTTTATATATTTTACATATCTCTACTTTCTAATTAAATTATAAAATATTAGGATATATGCATTTATTTAGCAGGATGATTTTATACATACATAGATACCTATATACTGAAGCTAGAACAACACTAATAGTATTTTATAGAACGGAGACTTACAATTAGTATGACAAATAACTTGATTCAAAGCATGGACTATTTCAGTTTAAACGTGATTATATTGATTAAATAAAACTAATTGAAATACGTGTTAGATTGCACAAGATTTTCATTAAAGGTATTATAAATTACGTTGAGCAATTGAATGTTAACAAATTTTGATAATATGCAAATATGCACGAGTGCCAAGATTGTAGTAGGCGGTAATTGAAGCAATTGAGTTTCATTACGACAGAATACCGTAATACTATTGTGAATCTAATCTCTAGGCATGAAATATATTTGTTCAATCAGTATATGTTGTTTGCTTCCAAAATTAAGTACGATCTTTTTTTTTCTTGGCGCAACTATGATGTATTATTTTTAATTTAAAGGAATTTCATATATATATAATTAATCATTATAAATTGTTTCAGGTGAAAACTCTTCTTCCGGATCGCTATCGCCGAGTATATCGGGACAATTGCGTCGTAGATTGCTTCATAGAAGATCCGCAGATAATTTGATTGTAAGCTCACCGACAAATTCTATGAGACATTCTAGTCCAGAATCTATTAGAAGTGTACCGATCCAACATAAGCCACGTTCAACATCGCACGATGCTCTATCCAAAAAGAAGGAGCGCTACTTTTTCCAAACAGGAGCGTCTATGGATAGTTTGGCGAAGCAATCCTTACTCGCCGCACAAGTACTTAATTTGATTCCTACTCACAAAGCACGAGAAAGGTATATTTTTTTCAAAAATATCTATATAATAATGAGAAATTGTCATTATATATCTCATGTCATTTTTCCAATTAACCAATCGAATTCAATTTTGCAGAAATTTTCTTCATGGAAGGATCGCCGCCAATTCTTTACTCGGACCGGTCGAGCTCGAAAAAGTATTACCGAATCGAGAATTGAAAATTTTCATTGGCACATGGAACATGAATGGTCAGACTCCGCCGAAGGAATTGAATGATTTTATGTTGCCATCCGACATAGAGACTGTTCCTGACTTGCTAGCCATAGGTACGCAAGAATCATGCTCCGAAAGAAACGAATGGGAAGCAGCCTTGCAAGAAACACTCGGACCATCGCACGTGCTGCTCACCAGCAGTAATCTCGGTACACTCCATCTCGCGATATTTCTGCGACGAGATTTAATCTGGTTCTGCTCCATTCCGGAAGAAGACAGTTTTTCAACAAGACCCGGCACGGCGTTTAGAACCAAGGGTGCGGTGGCGATAGCTCTTATGATATTCGGCACCAGCTTTCTCTTCGTCACCGCTCACTTGACCGCACATCAAGATAAAGTGAAAGAACGAGTTAACGATATAAAGAGAATCGTTAGAAATCTTGACCTTCCCAAGGAACTACCTACCAGGCACAAAAGCAAAGGTATTCCAAGTGTTACAATAATCTTACATTTTGTACGTTACACGTAATAATAAATAAATTTAATACTTTTCAGATGTAACACAAAATTTCGATTGCGTATTTTGGTGCGGTGACTTAAACTTCCGTCTAGCTCAACCAAGAGAGGAAGTGATCCAGTGGATCACAAACACGTGCTTTCCGCAAGAGTCGATAAACTTGCACAAAGATCAATTGAAAACTATCCTAAACGAAGGCGCAGTATTACGTGGCTTCGAGGAAGCCGCGATTACCTTTCCTCCTACTTATAAATACGATCCAGGAACGCAGAATTTCGATTCCAGCAACAAACAACGCACTCCCGCGTACACCGATAGGATCCTTTTTAAAGGGAAGGGTCATACCAGAGGATACATCAGACGTGTTAGTCACGAGATTACTAGCTCGCATAAAGATGGGGCTATAGAGTGCTTGGTGTACGATTCTGTTCCCAGTATTTGCACCTCGGATCACAAGCCGGTCTGGGGAGTTTTTAAGACTACGTTGAGACCGGGTATCGATACGTACGTGTCTATCATTTATTGATATTTCAAGTGACACAAAAGTCTGATAGTTCAAATAATTCTATATATGTATACTATATATAACATATACCAATATGCAATCTATATACGTGCTATGTATTTTTAGAATTCCACTTGGCGCCGGTCTTTTCAATCGCGAGATATATCTGGAAGGTATTAGAAGGCGTGCGGCAGCGATGGATGATTCTCTCGGAACTTCGAAGGTTTGTTCGGTTCAATAAAAAAAATTTGAAACTATTGCGAGCGCATAAACATGTTCTTGATTCTACTTATATACATATATGCAGGTAAAGCTCTATCGGGTTTTTAATATTTCAAATGAGATATGAGAAAATGATCAACGTTTTTTTTTCATTCGATTTACGTAATTTAACTAAGTCTATCCATTTTTTTATAACAATGATAAGGTTTTGCTAGTAAAAGAGAGATTTATATAGTTATTACTATTGCCAGTGAACACCGTAAAAAATCTAGTCAAACAGTGAAATAAATTGTGCGTTTAGATTTAGATGATAAAACAATTTTGTAAATGTATCGTTGGTATATCTCCGACACTCATGTTGTGCCACATATATATTAGAAAACTTATATGAGATCTTATGTGAAGTAAATTATTATTTGGCTATATGTATGTGGCACTTTCAATCTTGCCAAGAAATTACAAAAATAATGAGACATTTATAAATTTTGTGTTATATTAATAAATTTTTGCTATATAAGTAACTATTGATACATATATATACATATTGCAATGTATATATTGTATGTATTGTATCAAAATGTAATTCTATTAATATTTCAAAAATTTTAAAAATTTATAAGAATTTGTATATAATATATCAAAATATTGATTTCATGAATATCAAAAAAAAGATATTCATAAATATATTATCGCAACAAATGGGGAAGTTAATCCACATTTGTTAAGTCAAGTTGTTTCTTTATTGAATTTATTTAGTTTTTACTTAAAAACGCGAGTCTTTTTACATTCAACATAGATTTAATATAAATCATAGACCATAAATTACTGGGCCAATACATTACAATAGAATTATATTAGTCGCTAACATTTAGAGATAATATCTCCATTTATTAAGTTTATATTCTTATTTGGGACCATTCAGACATTGTATCAAAGAAAGATTCACAAAACGAAATATTTTTTTCTTAAATATTATGCATGTAGAATAATATTGCATCAGTTATTTTTATTTATATACATAGTTACTATAGTAATTAAAGAAAAATAGAAATTAGGTGGACTAGTAGACTTGTTGTTTTTAATTGTGTATTCTTAATTTCGAATGGTATTGATCTTAAAGAGTGACAAAATGATTCTTGATAATAGGAAAATGTCCTACCAACACTTTACTACAGATATTGATAATAATAGCAAATTATGGCTAATTATAAAACCCCAAACTTATATACAATATTATTACACAATAACAATTATGCGCACACAAACAAGGTGTCTATGTATCAGTATTAGATCGAACATTTTTGCTGTAGCAAAAATGTGATAAAATAATATTGAAGGATAGATGTGTACATGTGCAGCATGTGATGCGACATAACAATGTAGTCATATTATATTATTTTTTAATAATTAACTTTGGTTTTTTTCTAAATTTATATAGTTATTTATACAATTATGATTATTAAAATATTAAACAAGTTCGTAAATAGAAATGTATATTTTTAATTTGATTATAATTGATTATGATTTTGTTGTCTTTGATTATTTTATTATTTGTTATATTTGTAATATTATATATATTACATGTTATGTTTTTTTATTAAATTTATTGTATTTTTTATTGTCTTGCAGTAATTTCAAAAGTCTTATCTTATATATAAAAAATAAACGCATATATTTAGAAAATATTATGTATTTAATAATATATATATAGATTGAAGAAAAGATAATAACAGAAATTACTGCTTGACAAAAAGCAATATACAAACTACTAACAAAAAGATAATATAATTATATATGTTGAAAAACCATATAAAACTATATATAAAAATTAAACTCCACAACAATGTATATACTTGGAGAATGGAGTTTAATACGCTTATAAAGTTCCAAAAGAGTATTGTAGAATGTTTGATAGAGAAGAAAGAAGAGTGCTTATACTTATTACAATCTAATGTATTAAAAAGAAAAGACAAATATATAATGTACGTGTTAGGTGATAAGAGACTTGCAAGTATTTTAAGAAATGCGATTCAATGATCGCTTAAATTATTATGTAAATGCGTATGTATTTTATTGTTTTATCGCGAGTAAAGTATAAAAAAATGTAAAATGATAGGTACTCGTGCGTGCTCCGAACAAATAATCAAAAGATTAATGTTAAAAATAGAAAAATGTGTTTCTATATGTCCTGATACCTACTCGTGTCATCAGGTTGCATACTTCAATGACTTGTGATAACTTCTTTGTAACTATGCAAACAGGTTGCCAATCTAGGTACCTAAAAACATCTTTTGCATGTTAATTCTGAAGCTTCAATCACGAAGCGAGACTAAAAAATGTTGAGATCTTTGTCTACCGAGCAGGTTGCCTTAACCATGCCTTATATATATCTAATAAATCGTTACATACATAGTTATGTACTGTCAATCTGTATGCTTGCGATTCTATTAAGATTATATTCGATTCAGATCTCTGGTCTAATTAGGAATAAAATTAAAAAATGTGGCAAAATATAAATAATCTATGTTGTAATTATACCTATAATTACCAATATGTTAATAGATATGTAATGGGATATAAAAACATACATAGTTTTATATTATAATGTGTAATTATATGACAACAGAGAAAGACATACATACAATACATGTTGATCGGCTTATTTGTATTAATTATATACTAAAATGGAGAAATAAAACAATATTATAAAGCGTAAAATGTAAATGCAATTATATCCACAGCATAGATTATTTATCGCTTAGAAATAAATTGTTTTCAAAATATACAATTTTAATTTAGTAAAGCTTTGATCGTATTAAGACATATGCGTTACAAATTGTATAGTATATAATTATCAATGAGTGTTTATTAAATAATCATGGTTTAATATATGCAATGAGAGATTATTTGAGACATTTATGTAACGTATGATCCTTGTTAGTAATGTTCTATCTGTCTTTTTTATAAATGTCTTGAAACTCTTATTGTACTGTGATAGGTTTTCCAACGTACATGCGAATTTGTCAATGAAATAAAATGTACATCTAATTATCTCAATCGTAAATCAGAAGCGCACAGGACTCGATGGAGATCCTATAAAAAAAAAAAAAAGAAAAAGAAAAAAAGCACAATTTTATTTTGTTTATACACCCATTGTGTGTACTGAAAGAAGATTCGACAAGTCGAATTTTCTCATTGAAATAATAGGAATTCTATTGAAATGTACTCGATTGTATGTTTAAATAAACGCAGTTAAGCGAATCGTGTCGAGCCGAGATATTTATATCTCCCGACCGGATTATATTTTTGGCGAAGCGCGAACAACGCCATTTCAAATTTTCCCGCCAATTCTCAATCGATCACGACATCGGACGTATATAGATACACCTACTCTGTTCCACTTTAATTACAACGCAGCTGTATCAATATAATCCGCGCAGAAATCTTAATTACAATCAGAACACTCGATTGTGTCGAAAGGGGAGAATTTATTTACGAGCTGTTATATCTTTCATCTAATTTCGTGCGGTATTAAAACTAAAATTCGACTTGTCCTTCCGTTGTTCAAAAGTGTACAAAAGGGGAGTAGTCGCATCTATATAAATAAATTGATCCATGCCGGAGCGCATATAGCGTGTGTGCGTGCATGTATACGTATCAGTATATATATGCGATCGGAACCGTTTGGTAACGAGCGCAACCGCTCCGTCAAACTCGCCGCCATTTTGTTTATTTTCGAGTGACAGAGATCCGCGAGCGACGATCACGACGTAGAGGGATCGGCTCGCGAGTACATTCATTCGTCCCGAAGCGAACAAGTCTCCGGCTCTCGTCTCTTGGGGCTGGGGAGCGAGAAAAGGAAAAGAGAGGAAGAAAGAGAACCCGCTGTGGCCCCCCGAAGCGGAAATAAGAGGCTCGTGCTCGTAAGTCGCAGGCGAGCGAGTCGATCGAGAGAATCGCGATCGAGATTCGAAGCGACCGAGAAAAGAGAGAGAGAGATAGAAGAAGGAGAGTCGTTGTCGATCGCGATCTTCTTCCTCCATCCGTCACACGTCATCCTCGTCGGCTGAGAGGCGCCGGTAAAAACGGCGTAGGATCGTTTTTCACGGATCGGCCGCGCGCGGGAGTGGGGAGAGGCGCCGAAACGTGAAGCGAGACGAACGACCATCGTCAGGAGCAGCAGCAGCAGCACCGCCGCTACGATCAGCGTTGGCAGCAGCAGCACCACCACCACCATCATCCACACCATTACTACTTGAATCGCCACTGCTATTCGGTACTACCATCATCGTCATCCTCCTCATCGTCATCGTCATCAACGTCGTTAGCATTATCGGAGACCTCGTAATCGCGAAGGTAGCCGTGGCGACATTCCTCGGAAGGACGTAGCGGGAGAAAGGAGAGACGTGGTATCGTAGATCGGGAAGCAGAGTCTCTCGCTCGAGTCGAGTCGCGGACCTAGCGATTTAATAACACACAGGGTGGAATATATGCTGTGGGCGTCCCCCGTGCGAGTGGGGGCACTTGATGGCCGCAGAAATTGGGCGAACTGCGAGCAAACATCTATCGTCGGAGTGCGGTAAAGCGACGTCGCTGGCGAGTCCCGGTAGCGACGTGAGCTTGGACAGCGGCCGGGTGGAAACGGAGCAGCAGCAATCGCCACCTCCATCGCCGCCACCGCCGACTCAACAACATTTACCACAACATCGCACGTCGGCGACCTCGAAACGTCAGATCAAGAAGGCGCTCGCGAATCCACCCTGCAAGAATAATCGTTCGTCGGAGGACGACGAGCAGCAGCAGCAGGAGGCACCGATCAACGCGGACGACGTAACCTCGACGGCGGAGGCCGTCACCGAGGTACCCGGCGCCATCAAGACGACCATCAACATCGGCTTCGCGATGAACCACGTAAACGATCAGGAGAATCTCAAGCAGCTCAGCCTCGCACCAGTTCAGGTTAACGAGGTCGAGGAGATGGACACGCAGGAGGGTGAGTCTTTCTTCGTCTCTTTCTCCGTCTTTCTTTAGACTCTATTTGTCTATCCCTCTCTCTCTCTCTCCTCCCTCCCTCTCTCTTTGTCTCTCTCTCTCTCTCTCTTGCGAAGAATGTAAAAGCGAGAGAGAGAGGACGATTTCTTTGTCGCGCATCTATCTCTTTCTCTCTCCTTCTATCTTTTTTCTCCGAATTTTCTCTTTTTTTCCTGTCCAATGCGCCAAATGATTCTTATATTTAGAGGAAAAGAGAGAGAGAGAGAGAGCGCGCCTTCGTAAGGTTACTTGAAGGAATGCTCTACGAGTCGCACGATAACCAGGTATAAGGGATTTGTGAGCTTGGCTTTTCTTAGGTGTCAATTAGCGCCGACAACATATTTTTGACCACATTTTCCCTAGCTTCATTACGCTTACGATTAGAATTCTTCGCGGAAACGGAAGATTTGCAGCGTCGACCTTGAGAACCCACTCGCGATATATAACTATTAGTAAGAATATTATTTATAAGTTTTTTTTTTTTCAAGGAAAAAAATTGCGCGCATTTTTTTTGTTGTGTACAAATTTCAAAAATTGCTCGCTATATAAACATGGCAATTATTTATATCGCGCTCGATGATTTATATATATAACATTGCATTTTTTTCTACATATTTCAACTTTCTTATTATTTTATTCTATTTGAAATGTGAGAGTCTAAATTTTTTTAATTTTTGTGAGATACAATGAGTATATATATATATGTCTCTTATACACAATACATTTACGTTATATTATGACAAAATAACGTGCGAATATACCTGATTACATAGGTGGATGATATAAAACGGCGTGCATTACGTCATAGTTTCATTATCAGAAATTTTCGTGGATAAATAAATGTAATCGTACTGCTGATAAAGGAAATTGTACTCTGCATAATATAGCTACTGAACAAGTAGTCACTATACTTCATCTGCCCTTTCTACACCTCTACATGCATAAATTAACGACATATTAACAAAATTCTGTTTTTCTTTTTGCATACAATGTATTTTCATTAAAATCAAACAAATACATATGTGTGTGGATCGCGAAGTGTGAATATTAACCTAGAATAAATTTATGATCTTCATCTGATGAAAATTTGTTTTTCTTTTTACTTTTTTTTTCAAATTTTCTCACCAATCGTACCGTGATAATTATTTATTATTTTATTAACGAAGCATTTCACATGAAGTATTCTATAAATTGTAATTTTCATGTCCTTATAAAAAAGATTTTGCAGAATTGCCATGCAGCTTTAGGTAAACTAATTACTTCATTTCAATATTGCACCACATTGCAGTATTTGAGTGCAAAAATGTATTATTTGTTTCAATGTGTATATATAAATGCTTAGCATACATCTATTGCGAAATGATTAATTAATTAATTAATAAAATTGCATAAACATTGTTTGTATAATCTATATTGTAAGATTTAAGGTTAACTTTTCTGCGTTATAATCTGTATTGCTAATGGATATAAATCTCTATTTATCAGATTTATCTGTTTAACTGGTAAAAAAAAATAGATGTTACACTTGTAGAAACTCCAAACGATGGTGGGGGGGATGGAACAGACAATCGTCCTATAAATGGTGAACCAGAATTAGCGTGTATAGTTCAAGATCAAGAGATGGAAGAAGGTATAATGCTTTTTCTTTTACATATCGGCTTTATATAAATTACCTTGTAATTTAGAAGTAATTTTACAGTATGTATACATATATGTGTACATATAAATTGTATATTATTATAACTGATATATAATTTTTGTCTCTTTATTCTTCTGTTATGCATTTTTTTTCCTTTTTTAGATGAGGCACGGTCGGAAGCGACCTTCCGATATACTGTAGAGAATATATCCAAAATGAAAGATTCACAGTTGTCACCTGCGTGTTATGTCCGCAATTTACCATGGAAAATAATGGTGATGCCACGGTCAAGTCAGACGCAGGAAAGGCAACCGCAGAGATCACTTGGATTTTTCCTTCAGTGTAATGGGGAAAGCGAATCGACATCATGGAGTTGTTACGCTGTTGCTGAGTTACGTCTTCTTTCTTGCAAAGAAGGACAAGAGCCATTTAGCAGAAGTAAATATAATTTTTTCTTTTTAATTTTCTTTAACATATATCACAAACTTAATCTTGATTTTAAATAACATTTGTTTTGCAATAATATATTTATATTTTTATAGAAATTCAACATCTCTTCTACAGTAAAGAGAATGATTGGGGCTTTAGCCATTTCATGACGTGGCAAGACGTTTTAGATCCTGATAGAGGTTTTATCAAAGATGATTCAATCACGCTTGAGGTTTGTAACTTATCATTATTATATTTTTTAAGTACTATTGATCTTTTTTATGATTTCTTATTCTATCTTGGTTTATTTATTATTTTCATTATTACTAAAACCATATAATTTAACTCTTGCAAAAAATTTATTCACATCAAATATGATTTTTTAAATGTTTGTAATTTAGGTTCATGTAGTGGCTGATGCACCCCATGGAGTTAGTTGGGATAGCAAAAAACACACAGGCTATGTAGGATTGAAGAACCAAGGTGCTACATGTTACATGAACTCTTTACTGCAGACTCTATATTTCACAAACCAGGTAGGTGAAATTTTAATTCGAAAAATATAACAAAAAGAATATTAATTCTTTTTTTTAATCAATCTTTTATTAAACTATTCTTTGTCTCTAGTTACGAAAAGCGGTGTATAAAATGCCAACAGAAAGTGATGATTCGAGTAAGAGTGTTGCGCTGGCCTTGCAGAGGGTTTTTCATGAGTTACAGTTTTCTGACAAACCTGTCGGTACAAAGAAATTAACTAAAAGTTTTGGATGGGAAACACTGGATTCTTTTATGCAGCATGATGTCCAGGAATTTCTACGTGTGGTAAATATATGTATTTTATTGCATTGTTACTCTATAAACTATCTGTTGCATTGTATTAAAACATATATATATAAAAACTACTCTTGTATATTTTTTAGCTATTAGATAAGCTGGAGAGCAAAATGAAAGGAACGTGCGTGGAAGGTACAGTGCCAAAATTGTTTGAGGGAAAAATGGTCTCTTTTATCAAGTGTAAAAACATAGACTACAAATCCACGAGAGTTGAAACATTTTACGACATACAATTAAATATAAAGGGCAAAAAGAACAGTAAGTATTAGAATTGACATCGTGCATTTATATGTGATGTGTAAGTAACAAGAAATTAATAGATCTTTTTTGATATTTCAGTTTACGAGTCTTTTAGCGATTATGTGAGTACAGAAAGTCTCGACGGCGATAATAAATACGACGCAGGAGAACACGGATTACAAGAAGCGGAAAAGGGTGTAATTTTTTCCTCATTTCCACCGGTTTTACATTTACATTTAATGCGTTTCCAGTATGATCCAGTTACAGATTGTTCTGTCAAATTTAACGACAGGTGAGAAATTGAAACTTGTCGCAGCTAATATCAATCTATCTGACTTACATAGTACATTTGTATATCTTTATAAAAACTAAAATATTATTTTATATTTTTTAACATGTAAATAATTAAGTACATTTTTAAGGTTTGAGTTTTATGAAAAGATTAGTCTTGGTAAATACCTGCAAAACAAAGAAGCAACAAGTGCAGATTATACATTACATGCAGTTTTGGTCCATAGTGGTGATAATCATGGTGGACATTATGTTGTATTTATTAATCCTGCTGGTGATGGCAAGGTAAGTGAAACATATTTTAAATGCTTTGACATTTATCATGAATTAAATATTATAAATTTTTTTTATTTTAATAGTTTATATGTATGTATATTATACACATATACCATACATAGTTCTATAATTATTATAAATAATTCTATAATTATCTATGTACATTTTAAACTCTATATTTTAACACCTAGTTTACTTTTATATCTTGATTAAACAATGAATTAGTCTATCTTTTTCAGCCATATATTTTTATACTTTGGTATTTATAAAATGTAATTCTTTTATAAAATTTTAAAAAATTGAATAATTTTTAGAAATTTTTAAAGGCATACTATGCAGAATAATCATATTACTTTTCTTGTACATTTCTTTCAACGATAATTTTCAATTTTCAACATTTAAATATTACATTAATATATTATAAAATTATATTTTTTTCTAAAAGACTTTGCTCCATCTGTTTTGTGATAGTGGTGCAAATTCGACGATGATGTTGTCTCTCGATGTACAAAGCAGGAAGCTATCGAACACAACTACGGTGGTCAAGACGAGGATATGTCTATGGCTGTGAAACATTGCACTAACGCTTATATGCTGGTTTACATAAGAAATTCAGAGCTGGAAAACGTTTTACAAGAAGTCAAGGAAGAGGATATACCTCAAGAGGTCAGAAACGTCCTTCAAAGAGAGCTTTCCCAGGAATTGAGCGACCTTGAACGTGACAAAGACGCGACTGACTCGATTAAAGACTCGCACACAGAGACGACGACTCTTCGTCCATGCACTCAAAATCTTCGAAATCCAAATCTCTATATTCATGATTTTTAACCTATAAACGTCGATATAAGACGGAAATAGATGGGAGGAGTTGTAAATTACTTGCATTGCTTCTCGATCAAATTCTTCCTGAAGTTTCGATGTTGTATCGAGCTACAGCAGTGAGCTTGCTCATAGCATAGAATTGTTAAATTCACATCAGACTGGGAGTAATATACATATGATAAAGACTCGAGGAAATTTCTGTCCTCGTTGCGATACATATTTTGGCTACGACACGTTGATAGTTTATTTTTTGAGATTCTATGTCTATATACAAATTAGACAATTTATTTGATAAAATTCAATATTCTATTACACGTTTTTTCGAGCCATTGTTATGAACTTTTTGTCTTGAATTTTTTTTTAATTTTTTTAACAGAGATTTACATCACTATCAGCTTTGAACTGCTATACTGATAAATGTTAACATTATGTAACATCATGTCCATTTTTATAATGTTGCATTCACAGAATAGTATAATAATTGATATAAAGATCAAGATACTTTACCAGATTTATTTTCTAATGTACTAAATTTGAATACGTTATGAAGTAAGGATGATTCAGTAACGTCTGAAAAAATCCAAAGATTGATATAGTGATTTTATAAACACTTGTACATTACAATGAAAAAATTATATGATGCATGTTATATAGAGATTTGTTTTACATAGGATGCCTTGACGTCTTTTTTCTTTTTTTCTTTTTTTTTCTTTTTTTTTCTTTTTTTTTCTTTTTTTTTTTTGACAAGATGAGGATCTTTCAGTGCGGGCGTTTGAGGCATATGAGAAAAATCACATATATGTGATCTTTTATTTATTTTTATCTTAACTCAATTTTATATCGGTAACACAATGGATTAAAGAGAAAGATTCATGACTAATGTGCGTGTTACATTCTTATCACTCATGTCAGAAATGCTTATCCAGAATTGGATACACCTGAAGTCTGATTGTCAGACTAATATCGTGATGAGCCTTAGAATTGTTTTGGGAATGTTTTATTGTAACAAACATTGTATAATATAACAATAACAAATTTAATCATTGTACTGTAGTATATCAAAACCGTGAATGAAAAGTGAACAAACATATCGCAAGAGAAAATTGGATATGTGTGAGTAATTGTGTAAGAGAATTAGAAAAAACAAAAAGAGTTATTAGTGAGAATATAAATAAGTATCAATTCGAGCTGATGAGTTTTAGCTCTTGCAATATATATACGGGAAAAAGGAAAAAGTAACCAATATAAGTAGTACTTGTCGGCAACATCAGCTTCCTTGATATGTCTTCTTTAGCATATCCATTATTTAACTGAATTATTTAGTGAGTGAGACATAATGTGATTTATATTACTCATCTCTTCGCGATTTTTGTGAACTAATATTTAAAGTCGACACACATAATAACGAGTAAGATGAGAGCTTCGTGTTTCAACAAAGAACCAGCTTGAACAACTCGTTAAATTCATTAAATTCTCTCCGTGTTAATAGTGATTACGATCATTGACAGATGCTATCTATATATTTATTTGTTGTTATATATTAATAACTAGAGAGAGAGAGAATGTGAGAGAGAGAGAACGAGAGAGAGAGAGAGAGAGAGAGAGAAAGAGCGAGCGAGAGAGAGAAAGAAAGAAACGAACGCTAAAGCATTATCGATAGAGTAAATACTTTATGATAGCTTTAATCGTGAGATACCTTTAAATGCTACATCACTATTTTATATATAAAAATAAAAAAAGGAGAATAACGAAAATAAATTGTTGGATACTAGAAAATTTCACAGGCAGAAATCGCGTTAATTTTATTTATTTTTACCGCTATTCTCTTTCATCTACGTACGATTTGCAAGTAATAGAGATATTCCAAGTTACACAAGGCATCTCCACACTACTATAGTTATACATTACATTGTTATAATTATTTGGCATGGGTGGTGGTTATAATAGGTTTTGATAGGTATGTATTATGCATGTACATAGTTAAATTAAGGTATTTTGTTGTTTTGCTAAAATTTATTTCTGATCAACAATTACACACATTCTAGATATTGATATGCTAACGTAGCATGTAATTAAAGTAATATTATAGGATTCATATATCACTTATACTATATATACTTTTTTTGTACATCATATTTGTTGCAATTTTTTATGTTTAATTATTAATTGTATATTTATTGTGTGATATTGTATTCATTAGCCAGCAAGAGATAACTGGGAACCATCACTCACCGCCAAATAATTTTTATTGTGTAATTGTTTGACTTGGTAGTCGATATAGCGGCAGATGAACAAAATTAAAATTACAGAATAAAAAATGTACCGTCATTCTTTTGATGTTTCGGATACAATCTGTTCTCGAATCTCAAAAGCATGATACATTCTTTTTCTAAAAAGAAAAGAACCAAATTATGTAAATTAAAAAGACAGTCAAATGATCCGATGAGAACTAAATGAGTACACACGTGGATAATTTTAATTTTGTTGGTCTAGCTGGTGGAGAGGCTGCAAGAGGAGAAGAGGCTGGAACAGATAAGAAGAAAGGAAAGAACGGAGGCATACTTGTACATGACCGTTCATGTCCTTCTCGAGGATAGCTTTGACGGTCACCAAGGGAATGATCTCTACGACCCAGAGCACGTTATAAATCGTGCATTTCGCGTACGTAAGCAGGCCACTGTGCAAGAGTTTCTCGAGCTACTGCGTGATAGTCTGGTAAGTGAGTTTAGTCAAGACACTTTGTGTTTTCGGTGCTTCTTCACATTCTGTTATATCGCTTAAAGGTTCACCTTGTGCTTGTACGTATGTCAGAATTTATTTACAAAGTAAATCAATTCTGGTATAACATCTAATCTAATATATTTCTTGTGCTACTGTTTGTGAATCATATATATATATATATATATATATGTATGTATGTATGTATGTATGTATGTATGTATGTATGTATGTGTATATACACATATATATACATACATATACATATATATCAGTGGTTCTGAATTATATTGTCATGACGGTAGGTAATAAAACGTGAAAAGAGACTAGATCTATCTTTTATATATATATATATAAAAGAATAGAGAGCAATAGAAGAAATATTATTTTTCTTTGCAGAATAGTGTAAATGTTTCTAACATGACATTAATACATGGTAAAATAATATTGTAAAATTGATTCAAAAACAGCTTTTATTTTCAAGTTTAAAAAATCGAAAACGGAAAACGGTGATACGGAGAAAGAGATAAAGCAGGTATAATTAATATCATTAAATTTATTCCACAGAATTATCCGATAAGTCAGATTCGAATCTGGCCGTTCAGTCAACGCTCGAATCAAACCTGCAGACCTACATTAATCGAGCCGGATGCTGATCTTCAGAAACCCATCATCGATTGCGCAGAAAATCATAATCCATGGAATGTATTCGTCGAACTTGTTCCTCCAGATTCTGACATGAAGGCGTTACCACCATTCGACAAGGACACCGACGTTTTACTCTTTTTTAAGCTTTATGATCCAAAAAATAAGAAAATTCATTACTGCGGTCATCATTATATGCCTGTTGTAGCCAAAGTCCGTAAGTTGAAGACGTTTTTATAATATATCAATATAATAAAAGAATATCGTAAATATTCTTCTCTTTTTTCGTGTATACATATAATTTTTATATAATTAGAATATCTCTTAACATAATTCTGTTAATAAATTTTGTAGAGGAACTCATACCAATTTTAAACCAACGCGCGGGATTTCCACCAGACACAGAACTTGCTTTATATGAAGAAATTAAACCAAATCTAGTTGAGAAAATAGACAATCTAACAGAGCCTCTGGAAAAAGTTTTAGAGGAATTAATGGACGGTGACATTATTGTATTTCAAAAGGAAGGCGATAATGAGATGTATGAACTTCCAACATGTCGAGAATATTTTAAGTGAGTGTATTTTAATATTTATATTTCTCTCTTATTATATATTTTATATTTCTTATAATATTTAGATTTATAATATTTACTTATAATATTTAGATTTATTTTTTATTTCTAGTATGAAAAATTATATCTTCAAAACTATAAGGCTTACTAATTTAATGATTTGCTTTTTCAGAGATCTATTCTATAGGGTAGACGTAACGTTTTGTGATAAGACGATTCCTAACGATCCAGGTTTTACGATGGAACTTTCATTAAGAATGACGTACGATCAAATGGCAAAGGCTGTAGCACAACGAGTCGGCACAGATCCATATCTTTTACAATTCTTTAAATGTCAAAAGTAAGAATTCATATTTCTATTTACTTATCTAAACATCAATTACATGTTGAAATGTTTCGATTACTTTAAATATACTCAAGCAATTTTTTTTTTTTTTTATGAAAGTCTTATATCTTTACATTTTTATTTTCAGTTATAAAGACTCTCCTGGCCATCCTCTAAAGTGTACATTCGAAGGCACGCTCAAAGAACTGGTTTCGTACTGCAAGTCGAAAGTAAAGAAATTATTTTATCAACAGCTCAGTATTAGAGTAAACGAGCTAGAAAACAAGAAACAGTTTAAGTGTATATGGGTCGGCCCGTCACTTAAGGAGGAGAAGGAGATTATACTTTACCCGAATAAAAATGGTACTGTCGCCACTCTGCTCGAGGAGGCTAAGAAGCAAGTAGAATTATCGGAAAACGGATCGGGAAAACTAAGGATATTAGAAATAAATTGCAACAAGCTTTTACCCGGCCCCGGGGACGATGTACCTTTAGATAACTTAAACTCGTCAGGCACCAAACTGTATAGGATAGAAGAAATTCCGAATGACGAATTGAATCTAGCGGAGGGCGAGTTGTTGGTTCCCGTTGCGCATTTTCACAAAGACGTTTTCTCAACGTTCGGTATACCCTTTTTCTTCAAAATCAAGAATGTGAGTGATTTTTCAAATTTAAGTTTTCACCTATGTACTCATGTGACATATGATGCATCTTAATGATCGTTTTTAATGTTGTATTTATAGGGTGAACCTTTTCCAAAAATGAAGGATAGATTGCTAAAGAAATTAGGAGTCCAGGAGAAAGAATTCGAAAAGGTAGGCATCCTTAGCTAATTTTTTTTGATCTCTTATGAGAATTCATAAAAAAACTTTGAAGTTTAAGTTCGCGGTGGTGACGATGGGCAAGCCACAGTTCATTATCGATTCGCCGGACTATTGTATCAAAATCGACGATTTCCTTCCTAAATATAGCAATCAGAGTGAGTATAAAACGTGTTTTTATCTCTCCATTTTCTAACGCATGCCAGTAAAGTGAGTGTCGAATAATCGCACAGTCTCACTATATTTAGTATCTAGTATATTGCAATATGATGCTGATGAAGAATAAATTTTGTAGTCTATCCACTTTTAAACGCAGGCACATCGCCACACAGGCCTTGGCTTGGCCTGGAACACGTCAACAAAGCGCCGAAGCGCTCTCGTATCAACTACCTCGAAAAGGCCATTAAGATTTACAATTAAATTTCCACCACACGAAGAAGAAATTAAATTAGGCAGCCACTCATAATAATTTATATACGACTCTGTATAGTAAGAGAGCGACGTCTGATACTAAAGGTTGGAAAATGCGTTTATGTATTCATTTCTTCAGCCAGATTAAAATATGCGATTTTAATATTGCGAGAATACGACATGAGAAGGTAAATCCAGCTTTGTATACGATGGATTATAAGAGACTGTCGTGAAATGTGCAGTGCTATTTTATGCATCATGGAAGAATGATAAAATAGTTCCTCGATTCGAATTTGTAAAAGTTTTATTGGCCCGATGCTTATACTTTGGCGTCACTCAGTACGGATTTTTGCCTAGACTTCGAGAACGTTTGATTATAAAATGCACATACATTGTACCTAATATTATTGTGTCTCTGATAATTCTCTCTAATAAACTATTTCTTTCTTTTTTTTAATTTTATTAGGAAAACGTGACTTTTTGTGTGAGAAATATTCCGGCTTTTATCCTATCACGTAAAATCTATATATAATTGTTACATCCTAAGAGATGCCGTATTATGTTCTGCATGATGTAACATCTAACACTCATAACGTATCGTTGGCATCGAGAAAGGTTGCCTATACACTTTTTATGCCGTGTATGTACAATATTCAGGATATTTGAAATATGGGATTTGCCATTAATATTATGCTGGGAAAAGATCAGTGTCATATTTTTAATTTACTTAAAGATTTCGTGACGCAAGATTATTGTCTCACATAAAAATTCTATTTAAGACGAATCTATTGTGACTCAAAATATAATTCAAGCTTTTTTTATATTTTTGAACAAAATCTAAAGAATTGCAATTTTATGTTAATTTATGTTGCATTATAAAAAGAATATAAGAGCATAAAAGGTGCGCAAGCAAAATTTCTAAGTTGCCTGCTCTGAAATAATTTTCTTCCGTTCGAGTGTATTTTTTGTATGTTTCATCTTATATTTTTTACGAAATTGTATAATGCTAATACGTAAAATGTAAAAGGGTACACACAGATATATAAGGCAAGAAATTAAAACGAGCGATGCTTAACTTAGATGAAGAAATTCTTGGCTATAGTTTAAACAAATACGTGAATAAAGCATATTCTGATTTTTTTTAAGAGTATGAACGAAACGATTGTTCCGTTTTTAAAACACAATGTGTTAGAAATAACGATTTAATCATAAAAAAATCGTCGTAGCATTCTTTTAATTTGATCATGAATTAGCAATATCTATTTTTCCTTTTTATATTTAATTTTGAAAACACGACAAAAGTAGATTTCGCGCGATGAGTTACTTTTAGCAAGGTAACTCGTGTGTTGCACAAGTTTTCTGCTATTTACGGATCCTTATTTATCATTTTTTACACCTTACTGTGATCAATTCAATTTAGTTAACATGTATTTAAACACGACACCGCCGCCTCTCGAATACTTCAATTAGCATAATTGTAAATGTCAAAGAAGGAGGATACCGAGCTTTCTACGTATGCATTATTTAATAAATTTCTTTTTATGTTGAGAAGCTGTTTATTACGCTCATAAGTTTTTAATGAGTTAGATCTATAAGCTTAGAGATGTAGTTTTAAGCTACATTATTTTGAATGTTTAAACTTATGAAGAATTGCAGATCACTTGAAAGTCATAACATAAAATCGTAATGTGTTCAAAGTGCAAAAGCGAAATTTGCACTTTGCAAATGACAAACATAAAATGATACGCCAACACACACACCAACATATATATATATACACACACACACACACACACACATGCACATACGTACATGAATTGCTATAGTGCTTCATATATTTACGCGACAATTCATCGGAAACTTTGTATGTTTGTCGTGTGTGTTTTACCTGATCGATTAATTAATTAATTAATAATAATAAAGAAATCTATGACCCGCAATAGTTTTTGAAGACTGGACGCATAAGTTAAACGACAGCATATTTTGTAAAAAAAAAAACTAAATGTGGCTGTACAAACTGTGCTATTTGGTGGCATATATAAAAAATCGTAATCTTAATATAATGCATCTAAAAAACTTAAATTATACTCTATAGAGACACATTATCGAGCGTGTTTTACTTTTTATTTCTATACTTTTGTCTTTATTTGCATCTGTTTAGAATAATTTAATAGCATGCTTATTATAAATGTCGATCAAGGCGAATGCGAGAGATGAAGAAAGTGCGGCATATTTATAATGAAATTTAAATCGAGTTGTCATAAAAACAAAACAATCATTACAAATTTAATTGCCAAAGCGATATTTCATTTAAACAAATCAAATATCGTTTGCGATCGTAGCACTATAAGTGCCACTGAAAAAAAATTTATTTAATTCGAATAAGTATTTATTTCAATACTGCCAAATGAATCCTTTATTTGAAACTAATAATATTTATTTGATATGAAAAATATTTATTTGATATAAGAAAATTCTTTTCAAAACAAATAAATATTTATTTGAAACAAATAAATATTTATTTGTTTCAAATAAATGATTCATTTGGCAGTATTGAACTAAATATGTATTAATTTAGTCATTTTTTCAGTGTGCGTATATTCTTTTTTTTTATAACTGTTCTTCTTAGATAAATAGAAAAATTAATCATTTTACAGAAGATCTCTGTCGAATTGAATATGGAAAGCACGCTACCGATAGGTCTCTTTAGTAAAGGCGGCGATAATATTTTATATAGTCTGCAAGAGAAACAAAGAAAATGAAATGGATTCTCTTTCATCCGAGATTGTTGCAATTTTATAATATTGTAACGTAATAGTAAATGGAAAGAATCATTTTGTTATATATATATATAATTTCGAATATCCTAATAACGAAATTATATATATAATTTATAATTTTGTTATTAGATTTCTCAGAAATTAATGATATAATAGCAATCTCTTTCTTGAAATTGAAGGTGACAGGCGAGACAGAAATTAATAATGAAAAGAGTAAATATCCTCTTTTTGCAAGGAAGAATAGAGATCATATAGGAGTCTATTTGACGAGATCACGTTTAAGTTATTAATTGTATTATCGACATTATCGGCGCGTGATTGTAACAAACGACACGTCGAGGAAGAAATCAAGTTGAGACATCCGGCATACGATCGCTTGTAATAGATTGTATACCAGATACTTTTGCGTTTTTGTAGAGCTGACTTTATAAAAAAAGAAACTGCTCAACTGCGATTGTATAAATTTGAATATTTGATAGTTCATTTCTCTAAGCAAGCGAGATAAATGCGAGATGCAGGTATACGTAAGAAAAAAAAACAATAATAAAAGCAATATAAATTGACGCGTCATTATTTTTAATGTTACATTTGTTACGAAGGTACTTCTTCCTCCGTTTGTATATTATCTATTAAATATTGACAATACGTAATGGCGGACTAACAAAGATGATAGCTTAACGTGCGATAATGTCATAGTGAAATAGTAAAAGAACAACGAAAATCAGACTGATTAAGAACAGAGACACTGGTTATGAATAGAAGAATTCGACTATATGCTTCTAGTTTATGTACTAAATAAATTTGAATAGATCTAACTTATGTTAATAATCTGGCGAAAAATTATGTTTTGGAACGTTAGCGATTCTGCAAAGGAGCACTATGTATATGCAAGCGTATCATTAACTCGACTTTCTCTAACATTAGACCGGGAAGTTTCTTGTAATAGTGTGTGTAGTTAACTTATTCTCGCTTGAATACTACATTGCTATTCTTTTTATCACATGATAAAAATAGCATATTAAGAAATTAAATGCGTCACTGTGCGGATATCAATCTCTTTTATATGCATTTTTAAGTCTCAGATTTACTAAGATTTCCGACGTTCCGAGACTTAACACGAATTATTTTTAAAAGAATTTGCCAAATTGTAAACAGTAATCTCGGTATTCACTTGATTGGAAAATAACAGCCAGAATATTGTGAATTTTGGCTGTTATTTACTGATCAGTTTGTCTTGTGTATATATATAACTCTAGAACATAACAACTAGCACGTTGAGTTCTTGCTAGACATAAACCAGTTATCATGTATATTGATCTGTTTGACCTGATTAGGTTTCTGGTTATTTTCGTTCGGAAAATGCTTCTTTTAACAGTGTCAGCTAATTAATGATAAAAAAATGATTAAAAAAATGAAATTATCTATATGTGCTGATTAGTAGCTAGCCATCTAAAGAGGATTTTATCTAAGCATAATTTTTACTCGGTCGTTGAGCAGCTAGCTTTTAGTAAATTGAAAATTGTAAAAAACTGACCAGTGACTTGTAATCAGTTTTTCCAAGGCATTTTTTCTACTCTGGAGTTTCTTCGGTTGCTTCCGACGCGTTCATCAGTGTTCTCTCCGCAGTTGTATTGCATTACAAGTAAATGCTTATTTTGCAAAATCGAGGTGAAAGACCGGATTATAATGAGTCGCATTATCAAATTGACGAGCTATCGCGTGCAATGAAATTTCATTTAATTTCGATGAAACGCAATATAGTTTTTTATAATGGTGCTATATTTTTGAACTGTGTATCTCATCATGATAGTTTTTAGTTTCATTGTATTTCCGTATTCTTTCTCTTTATTTGAATAATTATTTATTTTGTATTCGGATATAATAATGTATTATCAATATTTTCTTTATAAATTATCTTTCTCTTGATGCTTTTTCTCACATGATGTTTTCACAGAATCGCATGGAAATATCTGTTTTTTTTTTTTATCTTTCTCCCTTCTAATAGATATTGTATTGTTCATTAACATATTGTCTCGCTCCTCAATGTAGTTCCTTAATTGCTTTGAACTTTGCACTTTGTAAAGAAGATATCATATCGTTCCTATTACTTTCGTATTTTTCCTATTACTTTATATCTTAACTCTCTTTTCATTGCCATACACTTTATTGTACACTTTCAAATATCATTTCAAATATGAAATTACAAATAGACATAGATATTGACATTGTTCTTGCGCGATAAAAATAAAAATAGTTAATAGTGTTAATAATAGTTATGCGATTAGTAGCTTTATCATCAATCATGTTTCATTTTAAAATTAAAATACATTGCATTCTCTATTCTCTTTTAAAAAATTATTTAAGATTAAATTTTTTTGCAAATATTTAATGAGATAATATAATGTTTAGCGAAAAAATATCTCAATGTAAAAATTATTGTACGATAAGGGTGAGTAACAAGATCGGGTCGAGAGAAGCCAGGCTTGTGATAAGGGAAAGCATTCGGATGTCCACTTTGATAAAAATGTGGACCAGATTGACCGGTGTACAGCGGTCCAGACAGAACGAGAGAAAAAGTCATCGATCGTTCACTCACTTTCGAATTCCGCGATTTGCCTTTAACTAGTCTACAACTTGTCCGCTGTCGAAACGATCGGTTTTGTGATTAAAACGGTTTTATGCTTTAAATTATTCGTGCAAATTCCATATTACGTGTAAACCTTTCTTTTTTTTTTGTTAATATGATGAAGAAAAGGTGAAAATTGTAAGTATTGAACAGTAAATTGTAATAGAGAAGTTTAATACATTTTATCACTGTGTATGCAAATATAACATAGGCTCATTAATTACAAATTAAAGATATTTTATTATATTATAAAAATATTAGACATTTCATCAGTATAGAATTGATGATGTAATAATATAATTTAGAATATACATTAATCGTTTTTTGGAAATAAAAATTGATATGTGTAATTAAATATTATAAAAAAAATAAATAAAAATCGTACAATTGGAATAAAAAAGAAATAAAAATATAGATTAAAGAATTATAAATATATATAGATTTGTGCTTATATATATATATATAAATTTTAAGAAAGAGAAAGAGAAAGGAAAAATTAGAAATATTGAAATATAACTACGAAAAACATACATATGAGATACATGAGATAAATAAAAATAATATTTCTTAAATATTAATTCTTTCAAAAATATTTGTGTAATCTTATTTTCATAAAATGTTGAAAAACTTGTCTAAGAAATTTTAAAAAGAAAAATAAATATAAAAAAATTCAATAATATTTTTATAATCAAAATAATTGGCGCGCTTATGACGTCACGACAAAGCATGCGCACATTTTTGCGCCTATGTTCATGTTCATGCTTCGTCCAGTACCGCAGTAAACATAACATGGATGACTGGGTTTTCCTGAAAACAATGCTCGGAGTCAATAAACCGGGTATTATCACATATTATACGCGTGGTACTGTGTCTAGAAGGATGGTAATCCAGCAAGGAGGAAGAAAAAGGAAGAATGTGTTTTGATATTCCTTTTATTCCTTTTGGATTTCTGTCCGGATGCAATACCAAGTAGCGTGCTCTGAATTTGTAAACAGAAATTGTAACGTCGTAAATCGAGGCCAAGAGGCCAAAAACGTGCCAAGAAGACGCGAAATCACGTGCGAAACAGAATTTCGTCACGTGCAGCAAAAGCATCATATACGCACGCACGCTTTTGGTACCAGCTGATCAGCCGTCAGTACACGCACGATGATGGCCGGGAATTGGTTGAGTTTGAATCGTCGTGGTTTTCAATTGGTCGAGAACCTGTTAAGGGCTCGAGGCTATTGTATAAAGAATTTCGTCGATCAAGGACAGCTGCCAAACGTCTGTGGGCTGCTTAGTCGCAGAGATATACATCTTTCAACCACGTGTCGTATACCGGAACGAGTGAGTATTAGATTTCGTTAATTTTGGCGTTAATGTCTCGACAAAAATGACGCTCGACATTTATACTTACGATTGATGAATATGTATATTTTATAATTTTATTCTTGAATTATGTATATTATCTTTTATCGGATCAAATCGGCTCTCGAAAAGTTGATTGTTCAATTTTTATTGTACATATGTGAAAAGACACGTAGATGAATTTGTGGATTTTACATCATGTTTTTATAATAGCTTGAATTATGATAAACTTGGTATTACAAAATGCTTTAATATATATCTTGAGTGCTTATGATTAATATTTGGACAGTAGTGTATTATTTAATTATTAATGATGTAAAATGTCCTGGACCGTGAAACAGAAAGAATATTGAATTAAATATAAGTTAAAAATTTTTATATAGAATTATTAATATTAAAATAATCGTCCTTTAAAGTTTATGAATATCTTAATAAATGTGAAGAAATTTTAATGTATATAGGTTTGATTTAAACACGATTGAATACTTTTATCGTGTGAAAATAAAATATATATTGAACTTTTTCAATATTATAATTAAAAGAAATATAATTTGGACATATTTCTCTCTCTCTCTCTTCGTCATTATAATTATTATTTTTATTTAATCTATAATTATACATATATAATATTTTTATCACATATTGTAATTTATATTTTTCAAGCTCTTTTATTTTGTTCTTTTTCTATAAATAAAAATTATATCTTGAATCTTATTTCTTATCTCTGAAAAATATGCGATTAAATATTGAATACAAAAAAAAATTACATATTCCATATATACGTTTTTAATTGATTGAGAATTATCTTATTTTTGTCTTTATTGTTACATTTAATATTTATTTTATCACATAATACTCATTAAATTTATTTATCTATTCACTATCAGTAATATGACGAGAAATGAATTAAGTATATAATCGACAACTATATTCTAAAACAGAATGACGTATAAATATGTTGACGTATAAATGTTTGTCGCTATCATTACATTATACGCGGGGTTATCAATGAAAACTTTGAACTTTGATGAAGTATATATATGAGTATAATACATGCATATGGTATGTCTTATATGACATTGAGTTTCACTCGAGGTAGCGCATTCGCTTTTTGAAGTTATTCAAAGTGTCAGATTAAAGAGACTTTGTTATACAATTTGATTTATTTCTGTAAATTTTACAAAGTAACGTCAAGTTGAACAAATTTAATGAGTTATCACATATTGTTCTTTAAATAATAATTATATAAATAATTTTATATATCATAAGGATGTAAAAATATATATTTTTTAAAATAAATATTAAAGTGTCGTTATATTAAAATATCAGATCTAATATATATATAATATATATATTATCTATATTAAGATATGAATAAATAAAATTGTAATTATAATTGCTATAAAAATTCTTTACTAACTCTAATTTGTAAATATTAACAGAAAATGGCAGACATACTTCGTAACAACGTTTGGGAGACCGACCCCGAACTTTTCGAATTGATGAAGAAGGAAAGGAAACGCCAGGAATCCGGATTGGAATTAATTGCAAGTGAAAACTTTACGTCTCTCAGTGTTCTACAGTGCCTAAGTTCGTGTCTGCACAACAAATACAGCGAGGGATATCCTGGACAAAGGTGAGTGTATCTGCTTTTTCATATCATTTTTTTATCTTCTCTTAAATACTTATTATATCACTTGTTAAACTTTGAGTGTTTTATATATTTTCACAGGTACTACGGTGGAAACGAATTTATCGACGAAGTTGAATTACTGGCGCAAAAGCGCTCCTTGGAAGCCTTCAATTTAGATCCGGCAAAGTGGGGCTGTAATGTACAACCTTATTCAGGAAGTCCAGCGAATTTCGCGGTATATACCGGCTTACTCGAACCTCACGGACGTATAATGGGCCTAGATTTGCCTGATGGTGGTCATCTTACTCATGGTAAAAATTTGATTAATGAATTGATACATCTCTCTTTGTCACAGAAACTATTTTGTACATTTTATTTACATGATATATATTGTACGCTATAGGTTTCTTCACGGCGAACAAGAAGATTTCCGCTACATCTATTTTCTTCGAATCGATGCCGTACAAAGTTGATCCTGTGAGTGGTTACATCGATTACGACGAGCTCGCGAAACAAGCGAGATTATTCAAGCCGAAAGTCATCATCGCTGGAGTTTCCTGCTATAGCAGATGCCTGAATTATAAACGTTTCCGTGAAATTGCTGACGAGAATAATGCTTATCTCTTCAGCGACATGGCTCATGTCTCTGGATTGGTCGCTGCTGGAATAATACCCAGTCCTTTCGAATATAGCGATGTTGTTTCGACAACTACGCATAAGACTTTACGGTAAAATTCTATATCTTTTACACATTTATACCTATATTCTCATTGTAATGATAAAATAATAATAGCGAGACATATCTTCTCTTTTTGTGCAGAGGTCCGCGCGCTGGCGTTATTTTCTACCGAAAAGGCGTCCGAAGCGTCACGAAGGACGGCAAGGAGATTTTGTACGATATAGAGAGTAAAATTAATCAGGCAGTCTTCCCAGGTCTTCAAGGCGGGCCTCACAATCACGCTATTGCTGCTATAGCCACTACTATGAAACAAGTTCAAACACCAGAATTTGTCGCTTATCAGAAGCAAATAGCGGCTAATGCGAAGAGATTGTGCGCCGGTTTGCAAGATCGCGGTTACAATATCAGTACTCAAGGTACAGATGTCCATATGTTATTGGTGGATCTAAGATCAACGGGTATCTCCGGTGCGAAGGCAGAGAAGATTCTAGAAGATATTTCTATTGCTTGCAATAAGAATACTGTTCCCGGCGATAAAAGTGCATTGAATCCTAGTGGAATTAGATTGGGAACACCCGCACTTACAACTCGTGGCTTCGTCGAAAAAGATATTGACAAAGTCGTGGATTTTATAGATAGAGGTAATAATAAATGTTATGAAAAGTCGTTAGCGTTCTGTGATTTTGATCGTCAAAATATAAGAAATATATAATAAAAAATTGTGATAATTTGTATTTACATTTTTATTCGCGATATTTTTTTCAAAGAATGGTTTATATTTCTGAGCATTAATGAGTCAGATATTGTGACTTAAATAAACGAAATTTAGGTTTAAATATAATGCAATTGAAATAAATTTTATTGTAGGATTGCAGCTTTCTAAGGAAGTAAGTGCTATTTCGGGTCCAAAGTTGCCTGATTATAAGAAAGTATTAAGTAGCGACGAGAAAATTAAAGCAAAAGTTGCGGCTCTGAGGGAGGAAGTGGAAACGTTTTCAAGACAATTTTCAATTCCTGGTCACGATATATATTAATTGCAGCAGCACTATATGTAAGTAGATTTACTCAATGTAAAATTCAAAACATTTTACAATACGCATCATTCGATGTGTTAATTATACATTTGAAATTTTTATATCACGTTTTTGTACAGATTTGTATTATAATATACGGATGCGATACAAAATAGAATTTCATATCAATAAATATGAAATATAAGATATTTTTTACAAGTGCATATATATTTATAAAAATGTTGCATAATTGCAAAAATATATATTTTACTCATTTGAATTTAAGAAATTTTGTAATAAAAGTTGTCTGTATTTTCTGGTAAAATATAATATAAATATTTAAATAAATATTATCACAATTTTATTTCATAATATTTCCGTTTTTATTTTTAAGTATATGAGTTTTATATGCACAATATAAAATTCTAAATAAAATAAAAGTATTAATTTTTTCTAGTATGTGTATATATATATATATATATATATATATATATTATATATATATATATTGTTTTCATGTTTATTACGTCTGTGAAAAATTTAATGTTTTTGTCATTCTTTGCAATCAATAAATGAATGGTTATTTGTAAATATAATAACATAAAGTTAAATACATTAAATATGATTATAAGTAATAATGAGATGTATATAAAAAATATTAATGTAAAAACATCTTGATTCACAACCATACATATATATATATATATATATATATTGATAAATGTAAAAAAACTAAGATTTGTTTATTTTATTTATAATATTATATTGTGCATTTAAATATGAATACATTTAGAATTAAAAAATTGTTTGAAAAAAATGATCATAAACGACATAAACTTAAAAGAAGTAATAAGAGTATCAATGTATCTACTGTATTGTGAGACAGTAAATATTTTAATTAAAGCGCACATGATGTGCGACACAGGAATATTTACACTCTCAGTTTACATATTGTTAAATTAAATGTTTTTATTAGAGGGACAGAAAGAGGAATTTCTTTTTAGAGTAATATATTGGATTATTTGTTATTATATTTTTTTCAAGTGATTTATACAAATATAATACCTAAATTAATTTTTTAAAGTACTAATCTTGCATTCCCACACGTGAGCTGATTGTGATGTGATATCCATGATAAAGTATTCATTTTAGAACAACAATATAATCTAAAATATTAATATTATGCATAACTTTACATTAAAATAATATACATTGTTTAATTTTTGCATAGAAAATTATTTTTATATAAATTTTTGGATTGTTGTATAACGAATATGAATAATAATTTAATTATCACAAATTGATATAACAACATATAACTTTGCATTTTAAATAATTATGATAAAATGACAGATAGTATTAAAGATATTTTTCCAATGTGTATTTAATGTGTTTATAGATGATATATAGAAGGATATATTTATTACAAAGCTAAAATTAGCTGAAAATTGTTTATGCTTCCGTTTCCTTTTTAATACACAGCAATATAATATTACTTTTATTAAAATTAATGCTGTGAAGAATTTTATTACACAGTGATGGTCTTACGATTTTATTTCCTTAACTAAATATATGCATCTGTTTTTCATTAAAATTCTAAATTCGCTTCATATTATTAGAATCCAATAAATAGATATATTGCTTGTTGCTAGTATAGCTAGTATAAGTATAATTTATTTTCTCAATGTTTTTTTTCAACACAAGCAACAAGCAATTTTATTAAGCATTCTTTTTACGGAAGCTATAATTATGTCACATTTATTTGTCATACGTGTTTTAGTTTATATAAAATAAATCTTCTGATTTCCCAGCAATTACACGCAGGTATACATTGATGTGATATATATATGTGTTATATATATGTGTGTATACTATATATATATATATATATATATATGGTATACAGGTTTTAACTAATGGCGAGGATTTTATTTAAAGTCGAAGTACATAAGTGCTGAATTCATAACAGCATATACAGGAAGATGACATTAACTCTTTATTCTTAGAAAGCTTATTTTCTTTCTTTATTTTATAATGTATAACATTAAATAAAATTAAATTTGAATCCTCCAAATTTTATATATTATTTATATATTGTTGTATTTTGAATATTATTTATTACAATCAGTTTTCTTAAACTGAGTTTTTATTGCAAAATATGCATTACATTATTGCATATTTGTTTTATATGATTAAAAGAGAAAAAATGTATATAAAATTAGGTATTTATTAAATATGTATAAAATAATTAGGATGTCGGTGTAAATATTACTATTTTGAATTCAGTATACATAACTTACAACTTTGATAAAGTTCCTTTGACAAGAAAAATTGTCCCAAAAACTTTTATCTCTCAGTGATCAGGACACACACGCACATACATACAAATCAGAATTACTATTTCTTTTTTTTCAATTGTAAACATAATAATTATGATTTGAAACTTTATTATTAGATAACAAGGGAGCAGTCGATGAAAGTATTTGGATTGAGAAATAATATATAAAAGTTCCATATTCAGCATCACACTGCACAGTGTCTCACCTTTAATCAATCAAGTTCTTGTACAGCATGTGAAGTTGAAGCTACATTTCGTTGTTCATCGTCTGAATCATCATCCTCCAGGCCATTGAAGAAAGATTGCAATAACGAACCGAATAATCCCTGATTGCGTGGACGTGGAGATGGAATATTGAAAAAGAGTTGGCCTATTTTATCTAAGTACTGTCGATAATACGGATCTCTATTTAAAGATATCTGGTACTGTTCACAAAGAATTGTAAACACTGCTAGTTTACCACTGAAAAATATCAGATTAAAAAGAAACTAATGATAAACTTATCACAATGAAAATGTATACATCTATTGTAAAAGTACAACATACCTGTCAATTGTTTTCAGTAAAAAAAATAAAAAGTTTAATAAAGGAAGAAGATATGGTGGGCCACTATTTATTTTTGGATGCCTCGAAGTGTAAGAATTAAAGGCTTCTTGCGCCGTTGCTTTGTTTTGTAGACAAAGATACCTAGGAGATTCACAATTTTACTATTATACATATACTATTTATTATTATACATAAATAGCGTTTTAAATTAGTTTCTCTCATTGATTCTCTTAAATTTTAAATATAATTTTATATTTTTGCTCTTTTTCTCATATTATTATATTGCAATGTTATATATTTAAAATTAACATGCTTACTGTAATACAGCTTGAGCTATGAAGAGGTCTATTTCATTCATGTATCCACGTTGTTCGTGAAGTTCAACCAACATTGCTGCGCATCCAGAGCCATCTCTACTATGTATAAAGTGTTGCCTTGCCATTATGTAATTCTTTTCTAATTAAAAAAAATAATAAGTTCTTTATGCATAGTGTGTAAGGAATAATAACAAATGTCGTTTCTTTTTCAACAGTTTACCTCTCCAAAACACTTGAGCTATCTTCTGATGCAAATCTGGATGACCAGTTTTATAATCTGTACCCTTTACGCTCCATTTAAGCGCTGATTGAATAAATACTTCTCTTTCCGGCGATGCAGGGCTCATTAAGTTGAACAAAGTCGTGATCTTCTCGAAGAAGCTTTGCATAGGTTCCGTCCCGGATTGTGTTAAAACATTGATAAATAGGATTCCTAAGTCGGCTCCACTTGCATGCTGCAATAAATGTGTGGTCGGTAGAATGTCTAAAATTGATCTTCGCTCTTTTTTAGAAGACGTAAAAATTGAAGGATACTTTTCGGCGATACCCGAGTAATATTCGAGCATACCTGTTCATGCTGTAAAAAAAGCATCGACCCAGTGTATAGCAATTCCAAAAGTTCCGAGTATTTTCTATGGCCGAGATATCTGTAAGCGTAGGAGGTTAAACGGGCAGAGATTTACGCGAGCGGGAGCGCGCTTTGACAGCGCGAGGCGATCGGATCAGCTGGCTCACCTGAAATACAAAGTTCTGTACATCTGATGAGCCTCATAATAATTTTCCGAGTTTATCGATGCCTCTAATTTCGCTAAAACTCGCTGAACACCGTGACTGTACCGCGAGGCCATGTTTACACTATTTGAGAACCTCGGGACTATACGTGTATAAGGTTGGCAACAGTGTCATCAGTGATGCCCCGCGATCTACGTGCGTGATTTAAATTTTCGAAAAACGCATACGAGATTAATTATGCATGTCGTTATAAAGTACGTACGACGTTAGATGATTGGAGAAAATCTCTACGCCTGCTCGATTAAATCACAACGCGTTGCGCTAAAATTGGACAGTCATCGAATGTTATTGCGTTTTAATTTCGAGATATATATAGACTACGTCATCGCGTGACCAACTATTTTGGTACTAATGTATTTCGGGACATTATCGATTGGCACCGCATTTCGTATCGAGTTCACAATAATGCGCTAATTTCACTTCGTCATTTAATCAAATTAACTGTAATTGATGCAAGTTAATTAAAATTAATATGTATTTAATTGACAGAAAATGATAATTAACTTATTTATTATTATTATTTATTTATTTATATATTTATTTAATAATACATATATTTAATAAACAGAAAACAATATGGTCTTTATACGATTATAAAATAATAATAATAATAATAATAATATAATAATAATCTGCAATCATCGTACGGCGTCACGTACCGTGATCATAATAATTTCTTTTTTTTTTAATACGTTTGGTCTCGCCCGACTCGATTCGCGTCTGGGGGTTCAACGACCGCGCGCAATTTTCGGAACAGAGAAGACGCGGGCGCGCGCGCGCGCCTGGTTTAATTCGTCGCACGGCGTGCCGGGGCCGGGGCCGGTCGCGCACCAGGGCGGCGTAATATATCAATTGCAAAAAGTAATATTGATAAATGCGCAAAGTGGCGTCGCGTAAGCGCAGCCGGGTATTCGGCCGTGTGTGCGCGCACACACACACATGCAGATGCATCCCGCACGTATTTTACATGCACATGCAGCGTGTGTGTATATATGCACGCGACGAAGGGAAGCGGGAGCGAAAGCGAAAAGCGCGTAGACGCGCGGGGCGCCCCTGGCGGCGGACCTGGCAAGTGACCCTCGCGGAAATAATTATCGCGATTTATGTTATTTGCAAATGTGATCCGGGGGCGGGTTAATTAATTAGGCGATGCCGAGGAACGGCGATTAGCGACGTAGGACCCCGGGCTCCTGGGGCTATCCCCGGCTACGCCGTGCGAGCGGAGGAGTGCGGAGCAGCGGTGGCCGCGATACGGGGTGAGTGTACTGCTCCGAGAGAGCAACATTGCGGTCTGTCCCCCCGTTGCGCCTTGTCGGAAGGGGGGCGGTGGCTCGCTCGCGGGGCCGACCACTTTTTTTATCGGTTTCGCCGGCGAGCTTCGGGACGATAACAATGGCCGTGCCGAGAGAGTCGCTCTGGACGCTCCACGACGACGACGATGATGTTGATGAGCGATCGCCGTTCACGGCTGGGGCTCGACCGGGTGGCTTCTCGCGACGAGGAGGCACTGTATACTCGAGCTCCGGATGACTCTCTTTCGAGGCGGGAAATCACGCGCGAGAATGGATGATTTGTTGTATGTCAGTCTTGACTGATATTGACTGACTCTTTAATGTCTATTTGCTCTGTGTATGTTTACTTGTTTTATTATCATGCCTCTTGTTTTTGGAGGATCATGTGTCCTTTTATGCACACAAGTATGATGTTAAATAGTATGATTTTATATACTTGTGTAGAGAAGAAGATTTATTTATATTTCTAAAAAGATTTTATATATTCCGTCACAAGTTGTTTATATTGAATTACATATGCCTGCGCAGAATGGACTTGGCGGAAACTATGAAGAACATTGTTGCCAAAGGTATGCAAACAGAAATGGGTCCACCGGGTGGAGGATCAGGTTACTCTGCTACACCAAGCAGTGCTGGTTACGTCACAGAGAAGATGTACATGTTGTTACAAGCATATTTGCAAAATAAGGGATGGAATCCCAGTATCGAGCTGCTACAATGTTTTTCGGAATTTAAAGATGCCTCCATGATGCCAAGCGCTGCTTATTTACAGTAAGAATAAATATATTTTATAATTAAATATAGAAACAACTTATTTGTGCGAAATATTTTTAATATGTTTGATTTATTTATAGGATGATGGCATCTCGAGTAGCGTTAGATTCGCAGGGAAGACTAGTCCTCAGAGAGAATGGAAAGATAATACTTCCTTACGAACACTTTGCCAATGCTGTAATGTTGAAACATATGAATGGACCGCATGGCTTACATTTGGGTTTGGAGGGTACAGTCAGAGCAGTCATGGAGTCTTATACCATCGGAAGGGAATGTTTTGGAATGGAAAAGGAATTTATCATAGAAGTCGTGCAGAACTGTCCTAATCCCGCTTGTCGTTATTACAAAAATCAATTAGAACTCACTCAGAAGATGGGTCACATGGCACCAACTTATATCCAGGAAAATGAAGCGACTGCGTCTCTTTTACGTAGTGGTTTTCCACATAGTACAGACTTTCAGGCAGTGAGTAAAATTCTCATTTGATATTTTCTATTTTTTTATTTGCTTTTTGTAGTTGAGTTTTTTAAATTTAATATATATTTTATTTATATATATACATTTATAATATAATGTTTATTTATTTAATTTACTTACAGACACTAGGTAGTGCTAATCCGAATACACATTTGGGAGGAGGATCTGCAGCAGATTTAGCAGAGATGAGAGGTGCTGGCAATCAAATGAATCTTCCACGTCCTCCAAGCCGTCCATCATTAAATATTCCGCATCGGCCTGTATCGCAAGAGAAAAAAGTGGCATCTGGCAAGCAGCATTATGAATCTCTAATACCTAATATACCACTCTCCGATCATAAGTTGACAGACTTCTTACGCAATAATTTGGATAACTTGGACAATCTCACTGGACTTGGTTTAGGAAACTTACAAGGAATAGGAAATGCCAACAAGGATCTGTTGGCATTGCATAATGGTGCATGGCCTTTAGAAAATGAAAAGGGATCTCGGTCATCATCTGCAAATTCGGAAGGTGATTAATTATATACAACATATTGCACATTTTTTAAAATGTATTATAAACAATAAAATTAAAATTATATTAATGCATATATGCTGAATTTATTTTATTGTTTCAGGTGGTCAAGAGAAGATTGTGCGTGCTTTCGCAGAGGTGATGAAAAACATGGCTAGGATGAAAGCTTGTGTACGACCGGCGATGTGTAAACCATACGGCAAGCAATCTGAGGCTCTTCAGAAAAGTAATTTCAATTATTTACAAGTTGTTTTTCTTTCTTACTTTTCTTTTTTTCATCATGGACCTATTTCATTGTAAAATTTTATATAGATTCTCTTTATCGAAATAATGTGCAAAGATTTTTACATTGTTTATTCCTAATTGCAGCATTGGTCGATACAATACAGCTTGTACAATCGTTGAGAAGTTTTTTGCCGCCCCCGCATATACCAGTTTCGAGCTGGAAGAATGAAGATAAACACCGATTAGATCATACTGGTACTCCTTACTTGTCATCATTGTGAGTATTTTAATATTTATAATTTTCCAAACTTTATCATTTATTTTATATATATATATTTTTTAATAGAAAGGCTGGCGGAATAGAAGAATTGTGCGAGCAGCGTAAGCTAGATTAAGCGTCGTCTTCGCTTTACTCGCGACAGACCAAGTTTCGTCGTTTTGCGCTCTATGATGTTCTAGTCACAAGATGTTTATTGATTAGCTGGGTGTTTCGTATCTAAACAACCCGATGGATTGCTCAAAAAGTTGTTGGCGTTTAGGACTTCAAATAATAAGAGACAAAATGAGTCATGCGTGGACTGTGATAAACGTGAGTAGCAAGAAAAAAAAGATTTATATGTAGGACTAAACTCACACACCGCGTCATTTTAGGGATTCTTATTAGCTTTGTTTCATCACTGTAATCTGATTTTGTATTGTAATTGCTCTGCCTATGGGGCTTATTCGATGAATAATATACTAATCCCACGTTATATATATATATATATATATATATATATATATATATATATAAATATATCGAATCTCGAACGTCATTTGACATCACAAAGTAAATAATATGCAGTATGAACAGCATTTATATTTTACTGTATCAATTTAATAATTTTGCCGTTTGTGTTCCAATAATTACCTGATTAATAATATATTGTGTAGGTCTTTTTTATATACTACTATGTGTATAAAACTGTTATACATATATAAGCTTAAGTCTTGGAATAAGAAGCAAAGACTAAATTTGGCCTGGTACAAAAGCTTTTGCTACTAATTGATATTTAAAGTTCGCGGCATAGATGCATAAAGGGATGACAATTTCCTCGATTACCAAGTTTCACGTTATTTTGTTTCATATGTTTTTAACTGTTTGTTCTGTAAGATATATTCTTTAAAGTAGCTTTCAATTAGCATAAAGTGAAGTTATTTAATTAGCGAAAAAATTGCCGTTACTCAATTTATGTATATATATTTTCTTCAAAAAAGTTATGTATACGTTATTATTTATTTGTAAGGATAAAATGAATATATATTGTTGTTATTTATCTAATACTGTTCGCTATCGAGCACGCGAGTACGAATGTTAAAAGCTGTGTATGCTACTTTTTAAGCTCCATGGGCAGTATATGCGGTGTGCACGTAAAAAAAGTCATTGGTCAATTCATAGATATTTTTTAAGAAAACAGATTATTTCTTAATACATATATATTATATATATCTAACGTACATAATAGTAAAGGAAAAGGAACGAAAATCGTTGCGTCATTAGAGAATTCTCAAAGGGTGTGATTCACACTGACGCTCAAAGACTTTTCACTGTGCACTAAGTATTATGCAGAAACGTTTTTACTCTTGCGAGAGAAACTATGAATTGGAGGACTGCGTTTGTGATTTCAATCGATCGCTGTCTCGAGAGTAAAATGGCATATCGTAACAGTAACAGCAGGAGTAAAATCGTTTCCCACTCGGTTGTTATACGCGCATATAAATGATATGAGATAAAAATGTTTCCTTCTTTCTCGATAATGTAAAGTAATAGGCATTCGTCTTTGAATGTGTAAGAAGCGATGTACATCGCGAATGGAAAATAGCGCGGTACTAGAATGCGTGGGCTGTGTTTTGTGGGGGCTGCAAGTATGTATCTGAAAGAGAGAATGCGAAGTTTTGGCTATCAAATAGCAAAATTTTATATGAATGCGCGTATGTTGATAAGATGTCTTTCTATACATGTATCTGTTATATTTACTATACACGTATGCAGCGAATGTGCCGATCGATTACCATTTTAGGAGTCGGATCCATCATCTGTGCAAAATATTCAGTTGTTTGTTTCGTTTTTTATTTTATTTTTTTTTTGACAAATTATTAATCTTTTATATTGTATGAAATATATATATATTATAATATGAAAGATTAATAATTTGGCAAATTATATATATATAAATGTTCTCTCATTCTGTATCTGTGCAATTAGAAGTGGGATGCATGTAGAGATACGATTAATAAGTCTGAAGAATAATCGATGACGGTATTCTTTATTCGTTTTTCACGTATAGTGATTGTTTAATCGTACAGATCCGGCTTCTATAGACTGCGTTTTTGTTGACATACATATATGTATATATATTTACATTGATAAAGAGGCTGCTGCAATATGGTTCATAATTCGACGATAACTTGTTGTACACCAAAGTGTATTTCCAATAACTAGATGGACTTATTTCTTATAGTAGTTATTATTGCGTAAAAAAAAGAAATGCAAATGTACCACCGTTTGTCTCGCAATCGGTCGGTTGTATGACCGACGCACAATTAAGCATATCCATGACTAAGTCGCTGCAATTTATGCCAAACGGAGAAAAGGGAGCGCGGAAACAGAGTCTGACAAGAAAGAAGAAGAGTTGATCTGACATACAAAATAGAATTTCGCGAGGCATTGGAGAGGCTACGTTCGAGATAAATCTATAGTCCATATTAATTATTTGAATACAATCGTGCAATTGTTTAAAGTGCGATGCGAAATTTGTTCATTTAAAACAAAGGTCGCAAGACTTGCAGTCGCTTTACATTCACTTTATGCCTAATGATGATATCATCGTTTTATTTTTTTAAATTAATGGTCATTAGAGTCAAGAGAAAAGACTCGTTTTTCGTTACCCGTTTTTTAAAGATTAACTTTATCGCTTAACACGTACGTACATAGTAACTTTCTTTGAGAGCACGATTATTATTTATTTAATCGTTCATCATTATAAATAATTAGCCATACAAAGACTTGGATTCTAGAGGGACGTTCTCGAACGGAGTCGAATATATGAAGAAAGAAGAAGAAATGCAGATTTCATTTCCGGATCTCGTTATTCTCGCGCTCGTTATTATCTATACCATAGAAAACCGTGTACACGTTTCCGCACCGAATTCGACAGTAAGATGATAAACGATTGTAAAATGCGCACTGTTTTGTCGATCCGTTGTTTCTTTTTTAAACTCGGATCGTCAATCGATATTCGTACACCAAACGCTAACCGCTGTGTCTGCACATTAAGCTCGTCGTCGCTTGCCAGTATTGCTCTTCTGTATTCTCGCATAATTCTAACTCATGACAGCAATTATTAAAGTTTTTACAAGTGTGAGAGGATCGTCTTGTATATCACATATTCTCTCCATTTATTCTCTCCACGTACACTTATACTTCCTCTCTAAAAATTCCTTTGTAACGAAACACCGACGTCTCTCGCGACGAATTCGCAGGATCGCGTATTAACTGGCTGAGCCTCCAGCACGAAGATCACATCGTCCAGGAAGTAGTACGACTGTCCCAGATCTCCTTCACAAAGGTACGGCAGTTTGCTCCAGACGAGACATCGCAGACCCGCCGGAGCGAAAACCCGGTCGATCAGTCCGGCTATTTGAGCCTCGAGTCCGCTTCCTCGCACCGGCAGATACTCCGACGGTTTGTGATTACCCCTCTCGCCAACCTCGACGTAGGGACTGAACGGCAACACTAGAGCGACGACGAGCCTGCCACCAGGAGCCAGCGAAGTCCTCAGTAACCTCAGCAAAGTATTTGGACGATCGCAACGGTCGAGAAGGTTCAGACAGAGAATGACATTGAAAGGACCAGCTTCCTGATGCCATCTTTCTACATCGAGTACTCTGTAAAAGCCAAGGTACGTTTATTTACTTGAACGTTAGGGTATATTATATTTGTGTGCAAATCTTATAATTTTAACATTTCATAGAGTTCACTAAGTTCTTATTTTATTTTTGTTTTCAGAAGAAATATAAAAAATATTTTTGATTGACACGCGCAATTTCTTGTTCTTTAAAAAGGTATTGTACATTCCAAAAATGACATATAAACTGCTTTAGAATAAGCAGAATTCTCGAAAATCGACTGACGTTTCGTCTCGATATCTATATATAGATATCCGGTTGTCTTTATTTCAGCTTTAATCAATATTTATTTTTGCTTTTAAAAGGCAGGACTTTTCTTGAAATTGATGTAGAACTGATGTAAATTTTTTCAATTCTGATAATTACTGATAATTACTGATAATTAAAATGTCATAGGACAAATGGAGATGCTGCGTGAAGTCTGGGTCTGTTTGTCCTAAGGCAAATATATTTTCGTGGCAAAACTATTTTTTGAAAGTATCAGGAAATTTAAAACTAATGTAAATAAAGTTGTAAATAAAGTTAGAACTCTTAATTATTGATAGGTTTCCACAAAATGAGATGGCAGCTTCACACACACACACACCAGAGCAACTTGGCGATGGTGTTCGCCGATAGCGTAAAAGCCACCGTAAACTTCTACTCAAATCAATTCGGCGCAATAAACTTGTTAGTGGCGTTAACGCGTTGATGATATTACGTATCGACGTGTAAGTGTAAGGGTGTCGACGAACATGCCTCTTTTATACATCATCCGGCCGCGAGAACGGACCGAACCCGTCGATCAATTATCTTATCTCACTTTATAATGAGACCCACGTTTTTGAGATAACCGTAATAATACCCGCTCGTGATAGCCACTCAATTCGTTCGGGAGCGATGCGCATAATCGCGCAAGCTTTATCGAGAATCTGTGTCGAGTAACCGCGAACATTCGCGCACACTTGATTATTGATTCGTTCTCTTATTGATCCGATTCGCGTTACATTCATTTGCATAAAATTGAACACATCCTTTTCTTTCCTCTTAGATATTCGCAGTTGTACAGAAAAATCCAGATCCATCGGAGTCCTTTCAATCTAATTTTTAGGCATATTTTTGGAATAATGTCTAGGCAGCAATTATTCTATTATAAATCTAAATCGAGAGATTTTCAAGAATATAATTTCCAAAATGATAAATAATAAAATTTTATTACTCATTTAATTTCAAATAAATTTTAATTTGTTAAAAATTTAATATAAAGAAAATTAAGTAAAGGGGAAATATATAGAAAAAACTGTGTGAACTTTTGTGATGGAACAATTCGAAATGAATTAAGAATCGATCGAAGAGCGCGTTGAATTATCATGTATGATAGCATGAATAAACGTGAATAAAGGAATTTTTAAATAATTTTCTCCAGGAACGAAAACGTTAAATCGTAAATATAGCGCTTTAAACTGTGACGAGAATAAAATACGTGTCGCGCGAATCTGTGTGTCACCGAGAAAATGCAAATACACGTTCAAGCAACGGAGATTCCACCGCCCACCTTTGGTCGCTCGTATTCGATTCGAAGAATGTAATCTGTTTCACGTTCTCGCATATGCGACTCCGCGCGCTCGCAAGGGAGCTTTGTAGTTGAAAAATTCTCGCTCAGTCAATAGGGATTCTTTTCAAGATTTTCCAGATCGAATAGCCTTTGCATAGGCACATACAATGATTGTAGTAACGATTAATTTCCGAACATTTTGTTTTGCTTTGATTTCAAATATCAAATTGTAGACGAATTATAATATACATTGAACATTTTTTTTGTAAATCTTACTTATATATAAATAATAAAAAAAATATTCAAAATTTGACATCGAAAGCCAATCTTTAATTTTTAGAAATTGATGGCTCAAAGTATATTTGTGTCAGAAATAAACAAGGAATAAACGTGTGTTGGAAATTTAAATGATCTAGTAACATAATTTATTGATTCTTTAGAAAATTAATAATTTATTATTTCTTTATCGTTATTACTGCACTGTTTAAAAAATCAAGATAACGAGAGAATTCAAAACGCGCTGCTGTTTGTAATTTACGTACGTAAATTTCCTCTTCGCTAGAGCCCATCTCATGGGGGGTGAGATATCCGTGGCGTACACCTTCTCGAAGAGATGCGCCACGTGGGCGGTGGTTGCGCCATCACCTGCCCCGAGGTCCACTAAGGAATGCCAGGGGCCCGTGAAGCCGCTTGCGTCCATTAGCTTTTGAAATTGCTCGCTGGAGAACACGTGCATGGAGCCGCGGCCGAGCAGTCTGTGACAATATGAAAACCATTTTTCGTTATAAACGCATCTATCCTTCGCAGGCAAATGGCTCAGTGTTTCATAAATTATTTCCTTTTACTTTGAGTAACAATTTATATTTCATTATTTTCGGACTAGTAATTATACAATATAATGGATGATATTATTGATTTTTTTTTAAAAGTGTATATACATTTTTAAGAAACAAAAAACCTGTAAGCAACAAGAATATCCACGTTAATTTCTCAACGTAGATGTTTCAATCGGATTTTAATTTATCTACATTTATTTCACTAGCTTCTTTCAACTTATGTCTTTTCGCTTTTGAAAGACATCGGATCCGGACAGGATCCGATCTCGCTGGTCCTCGGCTATCGATCGATCGAAGAAACGAACACCTGCATATAGAAATCGAATCCCTGAGGCATCTCCGAGGCGGCAGCAGGTTGCCCCGCGGAATTCGTCGATGTCATCCTAAGGGTAGGGGGAGGAGGCGAACGAGAGGGGGAATACTGGCTTCCACCCCCATCCCTCTATCTTTCTCGTGTGCGGAGGCATCGTGAGGAAAAAGGGGCGGGTTCATTTGAAAATACCGGAGTCGTCGCGACGTCGCGGTGATCCATCAATGCCGCGGAACGCGGGATTTTGATCGTGAATTCGGTTATCCCCGGCATTATAAATAAGGCGATGGTGGTCCAGGAGAAAGAGAGCTGCCCTCCTCCTCCCACTCATCCTTCCCTTTCTCGAGTCCTTTTCTTTCTCCCTTCGGTTTCCTCTTTCCTTCTTCCGCGCCGCCGTTCGGCCATGGCCGGTGCCATCAATTAACGAGCACCTTCTGGGCCCATTGAATAATAAACAAGAATAAGAAGGAGAGAGAAAGAGAGACAAAGAGAGGCAGGACGACGGAGGGAAACTCGCGGACCCGGTTGGCGCATTGTTCGTAGTATCGTCCAGCTTCTCTACCTTGTTCCTTCTTTCTGCGGATCCTTAAGTCACCCCTCTTCCTTCTTCCTCGTCTTCCATCCTTCCTCCTCCTCAGCATCGCATGTCGTTTTCTCGTTCCTATTCTTATTCCTGTTTTCCTCTCTCTCTCTCCTCTTCCCTCTTTATCTTCCATCTTTCTCTCCCTGTCTTCTTTCTTCTACGTACTCTCTCCTTTTCTGGGCTTGTTCCCATTGTCAGCCACTAGCAGCAATCTCAGTACAGTCACATCGTCCTCGCAGCCTCCGTCGCGAATTCCGAGTGGAAAAGAGCGAAGGAGAGAGACAGAGACGAAAAAAAAAAAAAGGAGAGAAAGACGCATGCACGCATACGCGCGCGTGTGGCCCACGGTGATATATATGCGCGGTCCACAAATCAGACCCAGCAGATCGCAGCGGTTTCGTCGGCGGCGCGAGCGACAATTAATTCGCCGCTTTTGCTCTCCTCCCAGTCTCCTCTTCTGGTGCTCCATTGTATGCGTATGCATACTCTCCTCTCCGTCTCGCACCCTCGATCCTTCCACCATGTCTTCTCCTCTTCGCCGCGATTTCGAACTTCCTCCTCTCGAACTTGCTCTCCTTCTCTTTCAAGCTCCATCTCTCCGTTTTGTTTTATCAAACCACCTTCTTCTTTTTGCCTCGTTCGAACTCGGAGGGCGATGGGGAGAATCCCGGACCGTAAAAGCGCAGCTTTAATTCGGGCCGGCGTCATGCGGTCTAGCTACGTGATCACGCCGATCCTGAAGAGAGGAGTGTCGAGACACGCGGAGCAATTGTACATATATCCCGAGATACGGAGTGACCAAGCTCGATCACAATCATCAGAAAGTTGTAAAAGATGTTGAACTTGGCGTACATTTTTTTAATTGTAAATAAAAAAATTACAATTCTTATTGTTTGTTAGGGATACTTAGATTTGACGTAACAAGAATAATTTTAGAAAATATTGAATAATTTAAAAACATAAAATTCATATGTATATTTTTGTGTAATTGTATATAGACAAGAGATAATACGCAAAATTATTATTTAATCGTTGCTCCAAAAAGGATCAGAATCAACTTTCGAGAGAACATTTCTTATATATCTTCAAAACACGGACACGTCAAGTATAAATATCCATAATTAGTATATATAGATATTAATTTCAATTGAACATTTCCAACATATTTGAAATGTTATCAATTAATCGATACGCGTTCGAGGAAAATTATAAGATCAATCATAAATTAGAAGAAGCTTATCTCGCGCGCTTTCCAAAATTAAGTTCGAACATTTCGTAACGTTAATAGTCCTAACACGAAACTTATCTACATATACACAGTTCAGAGATGACAATTCAAAATCGATTTAGGAGTAGATGCCGTGGACCCTGATAGTCTGCTCGCCGGGGGCGAGGACAGGATAGCGCTGTGTAAGGTCGATAAGGATCTCCCCGCAGGACGATTATTTACAATTCCAGCCACCCACTCTCTCTCTCTCTCTCTTTCTCGGCCCGGGTGGTGCTTCAATTTTTGTCGCCGGACGGAGCACACACTGTCGGAGCTTAAAGCTTGGGCTTTTATCCGAGGAAGGGGGATGCTCCATACCACATCGCACGCGGAGGCCTCACGATCGTAAAATAGCCCGGAGAGCGAACGAGTAGTGTTAAAGAGGCGCTCGGCGGAGGATCGTTTACCTAATAATAGCAATAATATGTAAATGCGATACGTATCGAGCCGCCATCGAAAGAACGCGCCGCGCGCTAAGGCGCCATTGTTTGCAAATCCTCGGTCGAGCGAGAGATCCGGCGAGATCGGCACCATGGTTGGCCCTTTCTTCTTCTTCTTCTTCTTCTTCTTCTTGGCTCGACGCGATTTTCTTCCTTCGCGCGCGAATATATCCTCCCCGGATTATTACGCGCGAGCATAATCGCCACGCGCGAGCGATATCGATTCGCGGACGCGCGATGCACTTAGGACGTAATCGAAGAGGATGTCAAATATCAGATGATTTACTGTTATTTGATTCATCATTGACCTTGCGTTAAGGGAAAGATAAATTCTAAAATAAATCTTGTATGCATGCTCTGAGATACGATCCCTCCAAGAAAAATCGCCATATCTAATTTTTTTTTTTCAATTGTCAATCAATTATGAAATAATTACACATGAGATATGTCTATTACTTTGTATTCTCATCATAAATTGACATTTTTGGTATATTAAAAATTATAAAATATTACGCAGTAAGAATTTCTCTTAATATTTACCCTGAAAATCATGCTATCATGGGACAATACGGTATTGGAAGAATTTTATAAGAATTCTTGTATATAAAATATGTTTGATTAATTTTACTATGTTTATATTAATATTTTTATTGTGGTAAATATTATGATCAAAGAAACTCTAATAAAATTCTTCAATATCATATTCCCAAGATTACCTGATTTTCAGGGTAAATTTAAAAGAAAATTCTCCCCGTGTACAGAGAACTCAAGAGTATTAAATTATATATACATAAAAATAATTAATATATATATATATATACACATACATAATTAAAAAAAATATACTGTATATACATGTGTAATATTCTTTTTTTGCATTGATGGGATCGAAAATCATGTGAAAAGATTGCGCGTTAAGGACATCGCGCTGTTAGGATTGACACCTTAAAGGGTTATAAGAGATATGTGTATACATTATAGCACGAGATGATAACTCGATTGAATCTCGTCACGCTCGAGGTACGCGCGACTTCGAACGACCATTACGTATTCACATCATTAAGTGCGCGAACGAAAGTAATTCTGTAATATGGCGCGGGACGGAACTTTTCAGAGTTCGTCCTGAATGGATTAATGAACCGAGTGACATGGGATCTGATTGGGGCAACACTTAAGAAATCTGGCCAGTCATCTTTACCTTCGTTTGTCGTCGTTCTGAACGGAGCTACGTCCTGACCTTTCTCTCTTCGCGCTTCCCTTTTTATTTTCCTCGATGTCAATTCTCTCGTCAGTTTCTCCGATACGTTCAAATTCCTTCTGTATCATCGGACGAGATTGCTTTTCGAGATCGTTAAGTACATTTGCGTTATCATTTAATGCGACATCAGATTTCATTGTTTTTACCGATATTGTTATTGCGATATTTCATGCAGCCGATGTACGAACAAAATTTAATATCAATTATTTAAAAAGATATCGATTCTTAATTGACGAGATAATTGATATGTAAATATATATTGCTTTTTTGTGTAATACTTTTTTAATAGTTAATAATTGCATCTTATTATAAATTATTCGAGTAATAATTTTCTTTTTTGATAGTTGAAGACTGGATATAATTATGAATTTGAGGGTGGAACGTTGTCGGAGGAAAAAGAAGAGTAGCTCATTTCCACTATATCTTATGCCGAACAAAACTTGGAGCCGGTAAATTTTCACGATATTACTTTCCTTAGATGCACTCAATCAATGTCCGCCAGCGTGAAAAATGTATTTCGAATCGGAGAAAGCAAAAAGAACCAGCAAAACCAGTAAAATTTCAAAGATCATTGGCCATTGCCGAATGCAAGAAGTTTAAAAATTCCTTCACAAAAAGGTCTAAATAAGCTGAAACTACATAGTTTTTATACTAAAAAATAAAAATAAATAAATAATTCTTGCATTCTTAAGAATATAAAATAACATTTTCGTCGATGATCTGCGATGATGTTCCTTCGATTTTAAAATACAAGTATTGATAAATTGATTCGGTTGAAATGAAACAATATGTGAGGATGCTAGATGGATATTTGAAGTTTAACTCTAAATAAGCTGAAATTATAGCTTTTATATATAAAAAAATAACATTTTCGTCGATGATCTGCGCGATGATGTTCCTTCGATTTTAAGACAAGTATTATTGATCAATTGGAAATAAACAATATGTGAGGGTGCGCGAGATGGACATTTGAAGTTTAACTCTGAATAAGCTGAAATTATAGCTTTTATATAAAAAAAAAAAAAAATAAAATAAATAAATAATTCTTGCATTCTTAAGAATATAAAATAACATTTCGTCG